TTAGAAGTCTGTAGGACATCCCAGAGTCCACCCAGCTCAGACTCATGTTAGGAGTAGGAGTCTGTAGGACATCCCAGAGTCCACCCAGCTCAGACTCATGTTAGGAGTCTGTAGGACATCCCAGAGTCCACCCAGCTCAGACTCATGTTAGGAGTCTGTAGGACATCCCAGAGTCCACCCGGCTCGGACTCATGTTAGGAGTCTGTAGGACATCCCAGAGTCCACCCAGCTCAGACTCATGTTAGGAGTCTGTAGGACATCCCAGAGTCCACCCAGCTCAGACTCATGTTAGGAGTCTGTAGGACATCCCAGAGTCCACCCAGCTCAGACTCATGTTAGGAGTCTGTAGGACATCCCAGAGTCCACCCAGCTCAGACTCATGTTAGGAGTCTGTAGGACATCCCAGAGTCCACCCAGCTCAGACTCATGTTAGGAGTCTGTAGGACATCCCAGAGTCCACCCAGCTCAGATTTAAGAGTCTGTAGGACATCCCAGAGTCCACCCGGCTCGGACTCATGTTAGGACTAGGAGTCTGTAGGACATCCCAGAGTCCACACAGCTCAGACTCATGTTAGGAGTAGGAGTCTGTAGGACATCCCAGAGTCCACCCAGCTCAGACTCATGTTAGGAGTCTGTAGGACATCCCAGAGTCCACCCAGCTCAGACTCATGTTAGGAGTCTGTAGGACATCCCAGAGTCCACCCAGCTCAGACTAATGTTAGGAGTATGTAGGACATCCCAGAGTCCACCCAGCTCAGACTCATGTTAGGAGTCTGTAGGACATCCCAGAGTCCACCCAGCTCAGACTCATGTTAGGAGTCTGTAGGACATCCCAGAGTCCACCCAGCTCAGACTCATGTTAGGAGTCTGTAGGACATCCCAGAGTCCACCCAGCTCAGACTTAGGAGTCTGTAGGACATCCCAGAGTCCACCCGGCTCGGACTCATGTTAGGACTAGGAGTCTGTAGGACATCCCAGAGTCCACCCGGCTCGGACTCATGTTAGGAGTAGGAGTCTGTAGGACATCCCAGAGTCCACCCAGCTCAGACTCATGTTAGGAGTCTGTAGGACATCCCAGAGTCCACACAGCTCAGACTTAGGAGTCTGTAGGACATCCCAGAGTCCACCCGGCTCGGACTCATGTTAGGACTAGGAGTCTGTAGGACATCCCAGAGTCCACCCAGCTCAGACTCATGTTAGGAGTCTGTAGGACATCCCAGAGTCCACCCAGCTCAGACTCATGTTAGGAGTCTGTAGGACATCCCAGAGTCCACCCGGCTCGGACTCATGTTAGGAGTCTGTAGGACAACCCACAGTCCACACAGCTCAGACTCATGTTAGGAGTAGGAGTCTGTAGGACATCCCAGAGCCCACCCAGCTCAGACTCATGTTAGGAGTCTGTAGGACATCCCAGAGTCCACCCAGCTCAGACTTAGGAGTCTGTAGGACATCCCAGAGTCCACCCGGCTCGGACTCATGTTAGGAGTCTGTAGGACAACCCACAGTCCACACAGCTCAGACTCATGTTAGGAGTAGGAGTCTGTAGGACATCCCAGAGCCCACCCAGCTCAGACTCATGTTAGGAGTCTGTAGGACATCCCAGAGTCCATCCAGCTCAGACTTAGGAGTCTGTAGGACATCCCAGTCCACCCAGTGTTAGGAGTCTGTAGGACATCCCAGACTCCACCCAGCTCAGACTCGTGTTAGGGAAAGTAAAGGTGGCTGGACAAAGTGCTGACCACACAATCCCATCATGTGCAGAGGACACTGAAACAGGAGAACTCTACTTCACCGACCCCGTGGACCATAAGGTGCAAAAGGGTATTTTATTATTTACTTCTTCTAATGTTAAATAACTTTTATGGGAATCTTCTCCTTAAACTTCAACACATAAAACAAATAATAAAATTAATATAATAATTATACAGGTCTATATAGTTGTTTTTTTCATAATAGAAGCCATTTAATTCTGGTAAACCCAGTTTTAAAAGATTTTAGTCGAACAAATACACAAATAGTTGATAACACAGCACAGGTTCAGAAATATTTTAAGTTTTTATTAATAAAAATTGATAACATTAAGATTTTAAAAAATCTATTTCAAATAATAATATATGAGGAAGACAATTGATATATGTTTGAGGGAAAATATAGTACAAAACAAAAGAAAACTAATTAGCTACTTTGATTATCTATTATTTTAGTCTGTTTGTTAGAAACCTATATTAAAAGGAAAAAATTCTATTATAAACGTTTGCATAAATCATTAAAAATTATTAAGATTTATATACAGTAACATAAGAAAATGTTCATGTTTTAATTTTGTTCATAATGAATGTTTGTTCATGCATTTGTGGCAAATGTTTTAACTCACTTTTGACCCAGATACATACAACTATAACTAATTTTTAATCAAATTAGATATTAAATTAGTTAATTAAATTCAGATTTAAAAAGGGGAGATAAGTTTTAATATCAAAGGGTATACAACTTTCTTTTCAAGTTTTAGATCAAATGATCGGGTTTAAAAACAAATAATATTGCTCATATGTAATGGCCATTTCATTATAAGAACTAGCTGAATGCAAAAAAAAAGCCTACTAATTGTATTAAAAACATAAATATCTACTTACTATCTTAAGTTTCTATTTTCAATGCTTTTGAAAGCTTATTACTATCAGGGGCCTAAAGATTTTTATTTTAGTTTTATTTAAAACTGATGTTATGGAAGATATAATATAATAAGAACAGTAAATTCTATTCTTTTACATTTTTCTTGGCCAAACTGTTGTGGTGTATAATTGTTCACCATTACCATTGATTAAGATTAAAGTCATATTGGACTGTGTAACTTCAGCATAAACAAATCCTCCTTTAGACACAATACTACAGTATCTGTACAGTGAGGATCCCGGGGGCACCACGCCAGAGTTGTTTAAGCAGGGGCCGACTGTGCTGCCCATTCCAGATATAATATAATCAATGTTATTTCCTGCTGATGATTTAACTTGCAGGTGCTGTGAATGCAATGTCATCTATTTATAGAAATGGCTCCAAGCTAAACATTAAAATTTTTTTTTTTTTTAAATTTACCATTATTACTATTTTTTAACACTTGTTAAATAAAAATCAAATGGACTTTTACATATTATTTAAATATTTATAAATTTTTTAGATTCAAAATTTCTATTTTAGAAAATATCACCTCAAAATTGTGTTCATGTCCTGCCAAGTATCCACTGGCTCCATAAGTATCTAACATAGGTTGAAGCTTATCCACCAGACAAGGGGTGGATCCATGATAGGATGTTGAATAGATGGGATAGTGGCCAGCAGCAAATAAAAAGTCTGACCTATTCATTATGCATATCATTAATGTACAGTTTGCATAATTTATTCTAGCCAGTAGTTTAGGATGATAATAAGATTACAAGTTCATTGCACTTTAAAAAATGTTAACAGTATCTAATTCAACAAATCAGTTTAAGAATTTAAGAAAAACTTAAATAATACATTGCTAATTTAATGTTTAGTTGTTTATCTTCGTTTTGTTTTTTTAATTATCTGATCTAAGCTACACCTATATAGAAAGGTTACATTTTGTCACAGAATTAGTGTAGGACCCTAAAAATGCTTAATTGTTCTGCTTACTTGCTCATTTTTAAAGCATTTTGCACAAAATCCCATTGAGCATCAGCTATCTTTTTGTCAACTGGTTCTTTTGGCTGTCTCATATCATCATCTCTTGTATTACCACATAATAAAACAGTATCTACAAATACTATACCCAACTGTGCTTTACTATTTGGGATTGGGAATTCCTTGTAGTAATAAAGACTTGGAAATATCCTGAAAAATGTTGCTTTGGTTACAAATTTTGTACAGAACTGCATTTTTTTTAAATTAATTTTAACACAATTTTAATTTACATCCATGAAACTACCAAATTTTTAAATTATTAACTGAGTACCGTGTAAAACTAGAAATACAGGGACCAATATTTAAGAATTTAGATTTATTATAATTTTGCTATTACTTTAATGAATATATATATAAATTTTATTTTATTTTTTTAAATACTGTCATGTAAGTCAGTGGTTATTTAAAGTGTAGTTAAATACTCCGTATTTAAAGCATTAGAAGTGAGTTTAAATTATATAAAACACTTGTATGTAATGGTAATGCCATTCTTACTTTAAAAAGTTTGGGGGAGGGAATTATTTGAATAGATGTACTATTTAGACCTATATCTTGTTCTGTTTTTTATTAATATTAATTCACAAAAGAATGGAATATTACCACAATTTAATTTCAAAAAGACAATTAGCCTAACATGTTTAGTTTTTTAATTTTATGTAGCTATACAAGATAACTGCTGGAAATGTTGACATAAAACAATTTATCTCCAGGAAAATAAAAAGGATCAGAAAAGCGGGTTAGGTGACAAGTTGTTCAAAAACTAAATAGTAATGGGTCAAAATGTGAAAACTTTCAATGCACCTATTAAAAGTTACACTACTTATGAACTGTTGCTGCCTTGTAAATATTAATTAAACAACGAAATAATCAATGCAAATCATATTAAGTCATTCTACTTCAAATAATTCATGTTTAGCAGTACAATTAATTCATTATATTATTAATTTAAATCTCCAAAACAATTCAGCACTAATCATTTTTTACTATAAAGTTATGAACCAGACATTTGGAGTTAAGCCATATAATTAGTTTAAAATATCAACGTCCTTCACCTTTAAGACTTACAAATAAATACATATAAAATAACATTTAATCTAGATAAAATATAGGGCAAGAGCTCAGTTATGGCACTGAGGAGAAGATTACATCTGTAATGCTAACATGGTTGCATTTTGTAGATGTTATAAGATTGTTAATATATAATTGTGGGGGCACTCTCTTTTGCTGCATGTTAGAAATGTTACTGGAAAAACATAACATACATATTGATGAAAACAAATAAAGTGAAGACGAATGACTAGTTAGTGGTTATCAGCAGACAAATGTTTATTACAATTCATTGTATAACAACATAATATGTTTGTTAAAGTTCAATGATTCAAAATCAATCAACTTTTAAATCATGCAGCAACACCAAAGTGAGTTAGTCAATCAAAAGTTAGCAATGAATGCAAAGATGTTAATGAAATTTTATTGTAATATTTCTTAAGTAAACTGATGTACCTGATTTACACAATCAATTATTTTTCTACTGGCATGAATTGGGTACTAGGCCTTGTGATAATGAATGAGTCAAATCTAATGGCCTCTAAGTTGCTTTTATAAATTTTGAAATTTATAATATTCTTGCTCATAAGTTTGAAGTTAGTATTTAATCTTTATATTTAAACTTATATTACATATACAAGTACAAATTCAATTGTACATTATTATAAAAGATTTAATAAGGCAATCTATTCCACACAACTATATAAAAAATTATAAATCATTCTTTTTCCACTGTAAATAGTATAAAAATGAGTATCAAAATGGAAAGCTGAAGTATAGTACATTTTCATGTAATCTTCTTGATTTTCCCTGAACATTAGGAAATGAGTATTGAAGAAGATCATCTAATTTCCCATACATCAATAGCATTTCAATAATCACAAGATTACAATAAAATTGTGATTGGTTAAAAAAATTAATTTAAAAATGTGATTTATAAAAAAATTTCTTTATCTGAAGAATGACTTTTAAAAAAAAACTTGACAAAAGTGATAAACTGAATTATTATTTGAAAGAAACTTCTAAACTTTACGGGGCCATAATGTGGTGGTATACAGTTGAACACCATCAGCAGTAATAAAGGTCAGTGTCATGTTACTGGTCGTAGTTTCTGCATACAGAAATCCTCCCTTGGATGCAATGTTTCCATAGTGGAACTTGAGAGAGTCAATGGGGACTGAACTGTTGTGAATGGTGCTAAAGTCAACAAAATTTGCCATTCCTGACACAAAGTAATCTAAATTATTTCCCTGTTCACTTTTGACATGCAGGTGCTGAAATAAAATGTAATCAGTAAACAACAAATTTAAAAGCCCCATATCTGTCTGTAAACAATCAGTTTTAAGAATGTCTCATGACAAAATGATTAAAAAGGTTATCTAATCAGATGGTGTCCTACATTAATTAACCTTGTGTGTAGAACTCTCATCTCTGGAGATAACAAACAGCTAGTTCTGAGATAAACCAATTAAGTTGTTTTTTTTATCTGATTCTAACTTTAATGCTGACATGTAGATATGTTTTGTACAATAGCCATTGATTAGGGTGCTTATCATTTCAAATTATATTTTTTAAACTGTTCATTTAAAGTAGAAAAAAAAAGCAAAGTACTTATAGTTGTAAAATGCTATTAGTTTTTGATGGACATATTACCTGTAAATTGTGGTCATGACCAGACAAGTGACCATTGGCTTTATAAGTATCCAGCATGGGATTTAGTTGTTTAACTAAGCAATCTGTAGGGCCATGCTCAGCTATAGAGTAGACAGGGTAATGACCAGCAGTGAATAAGTAATCAGCTCTGAAAAAATAATTAACAATTTTAAAAAAATATAATGAAATTATGCATAAACATACATAACTAGCATTTTAAAACCGAATAAAAATCATTCTGCAAATTTTTAGCAAGAAAGTTTTTATAAATGTTTAGAAATTTAAAAAAAAAAAAATGAATCAATGCTGATGGCTAAATGTGTGCAGTTTTCCTATATAAGTAAACCTACTAAATAAAGTTCAACTATGGGTCTACCTGCTCTTCTTTAAAGAATTTTCAATAAAAGCCCATTGCTCATCAGCTTTCTTTTTATTCTCTGGCCCTTGAGGCTGCATGGCAACAAAGTCATCGGTTGAGCCACAGAGCAGCACAGTGTCAACCATAACAAAACCAACCGAATGCTGTCCATCCGCAAATGGAAACTCTAGGTAGTAATAGTAGTCTTGGAATTTCCTAGAGAATCCAATTTACAACTCCCTTTACTGCTATTGCTCTTTGTGTTTACAACAAAGAACTTACAAAATAATTGTCTATTTAATTCAATGCAACAATATTCAAAACAATATCACTATTTACTTCTTGTAAGGAAAAAAAGTAATTTTTTTTTCTGAAGAAAATTGTTAGTCGTACAGTACAGTATCATTGGTGAAATAAGTAACAGCATTTCTGTGTTTTGAGATAAATGTTTAGAAGGTCTATGGGTGGGGAATAAAACAAAAAAAAAAGCTCAGGATTAAAGATGAGTTTAACAGACAATACTTACCATCTGTTAGAACGCTGAGTGTATAATATTTGGGCTGTGACATTACCATGATGGTCATGGTTCCCAGCAATAAAGTACCACGGAATTTGAAGGGATTTTGCAGTGTAAACATCTTCAAATGTGGCCTGTTTGTGGAAAGTATGCACAAATACTGGGATATATTTGATTTAATCAGGTTTTAATAATAATCACTACATACAACCAAAATCTTAAAACATCAACCATAGACCAGAGGCCATACAAAACCAGAGGCGACACAAAGAGCTTTACCTGAAATCTGAAATCATTAACATCTTTCACACCATCGTAATAAAAGTTATCTCCCAGTTCCATTACAAACTGGGGTGAGTAAAGGTCTGCAATTTTTCCCATTTCTGCAGCAGTTGATCTTTCATAGTAAGTACTGTATGGTGCATAATCAACTCCTCCCATATCCCCAATGATGAGGAACCGCAGACTGTCAACAGCATGGCTACCTTCTAAAAAGATATAATATAATGCTAAACTTTGTTGCCAATATTGAGAAGCACTCACCAGAATACCAAGTAGAATAAAAGAACAAATCTTTTCCTTATCTCAAGAAACTGATGAGAATGGCATTTACGTAAATTCATGTAAATACTTGTGTAAGCAAAAAACAGGTAGCACACATATTATCAAAACAATAATAGGTAGCATCATATATTATCAAAACAATAATAGCTAGTATCACATATTACAAGTTACTGGAAATTTATAAAACTTTGAGCCTTGAATGGAGTGTTTTGTGTTATGACTTAAAAAATGTAGTCACATTATCATTAGTTTAAAAAAATTGTTTAAACACTGTGTGGCAGCATGATCAGTAAACTAAAGCACAAAGAACATCAGCATTTGGCTGTTAAAATTAGAGAATATATAATATTTAAACAAATATATAACTAACATCTAGTGTTAAAGTTGAAAAGAACCCGACATGAACTGCAAACTCAGTCTTCCCCCCCCCCCCCCACACCCCTTGCTTGAATATAATACAATATACAAGGATGTAAAATTAATAAAATGCTAGATAGTAGATAAGGGGTTATCTTAAAGGATGTTGCACATTTAAAATAATTTCTTCTACTGCCTCTCAATCCTATCATCATCATACAAAGTCTCTTAAGTAAGAATCCCCTTCTCACCTAAGAGAGTGAGATTGTTTTATTAATGTATCACTGTGACACTTACTTTATAACTTTTAACTTCAACTTATTTGGGTTTATATTTAATATCATTTATCAGGATATTTAACTTAAAAATATAAAAATCAACATCTTCAATGGACATTACTGTTGACATGGATAAAAAATGTGTTTTTTATAGATTTTGCAATTAAAGCGACCGTAAAAATAATAAAAAATAAAACTTACGCTTGAAAATAATTCAGAAATTTAATATTTTTAGAATCACTGTTATAGAAGTTGCATATCCAGAGAACTTTAAAATAATTTTTTGACTTAAAGGCTACATTTCTATTTATTTTCATCCAGCCTAAGTTATTTATAACCTGAATTTTCACTTTTGTAAGACAAACATTGATTTGTTCTACAGGAACTATGCGGTCAATATTCTAAAAAACCCTCTTTTAAAAAAAAAACTCACGAGTAGCCTAATAAAAAAAGGCCTATTAGTACTTTAAACTTTGCCAAATACAATTTTTAAGTTAAGCCATTTTTCATGATTTTTGCTTTCAATTTCTGAGATAAATGTACACAATGAAATTGTTTTTGGCTTTTTTTTATTTTGCTTGGTTACCAACAATACTAAAAACATTCAATTAATTAAGTCATTAGACCTAGATCTACATCCAATCTTTAGTAAAGAGGAGTCCAACAAAAATCAAACAGAATTTTATTACTTATTTGTTATAGATCTAGGGCAGGCCTAACCAACTTAAGTACTAAGTAGTTAAGTAGGTTAAGTTTATGTTAAGAAATAGTGTACTACTACTTAAATCGGTAATCTATCTTTTTATGTACGTAAACTCGCCCGCGGCTGGTAATTTACGAAAAAGTTATCTCATTGTCAAGGCTTTAATAGAAGTATATTGTGATATATTTGTGTCAAATATTATAGATAAATGAATAATAAATCTAAATCAATGGCTAAATATATCAATATAGGCAAGAAATTAACTTTAAACAGCAGTGTTTGTGCGCAGGATTTGCTATATAAAAAGCAGCCATCTGTAAGTTAGAGTGGCTTCCCCTGAATCTCGCGCTATAAGTTTATAAAAAAAAACTTCAACAAGATGGCTGCTATTGTAAATGAGCAATGTTGCATCTGTTGGAAACATCACTAGTTTTCATTTATTACTGAAAAGTTTTAATTAAATTGTTTAAAAACAGGTACATAAATTAAACAAGGAAACATTTTTGTATTTTTCAAAACATAAATCCTCCTCAAAATGTGAAATAATTATTAAAATGTAAGGAGTCACCTGTTTTTCACATTACTAGTTGCTGGCGATTTTATGTACCTAAAACGATAGATTCAGAGTTTCTTCCAGGCATCTCTTCGGGGGGGCTTTGCCCCCCCGAAAAATTTTTACCGCCCCCCCGAACGAAATGAAATGTATATAATTTATATTGAAAATATATACTTTTAACAGTGTCCGCCCCCCCGAAGAAAGTTTACCGCCCCCCCGAAAATTTCAAGTGCCCCCCCCCCCCCCCCCCCCCCCCCCCCCCCCCCCCCGGAGAAAAAAGTCTGGAAGAAACACTGGATAGATTACCCATACTATTACTTACTAGATCTACTACTAGAATTAGAACTACACTTACTTACTTACTACTAATAGTAACTACTTAGTACTTAGATCTAGTACTTACTACTACACTGTAACTACAGTAGTACTAGTAGACTTAAGTACTAATAAGTAGTAAATAAGTACTCAAGTACTAGTACTAGTAAGAAGTAGTGTAGAAGTGTAGAAGATAAACTGATAAACCTATAATTTTTTTTAATAAGCTTAAGAATGATTAGCTCATTCATAATTGAGTTTAGATCTCTAGATAGTGTTTTTCTTTTTAAAAACTGCATTTATTACTATTACAACTTTCTTACTTGAAGTTAGGCAAATTAGGATTGAACAGAAAAGCAATTTGAACGACAGCTCCATTTTCGCTGACTGATATCACATGACTGCTACTCCGAAACAAAAACATACAATAGACTATCAAATCTAAATATAGCTAGCAGGGATCTATGATTTAAACAGTATCTTCAAACGACTGAGATCTAGTTTTTTTTTTATTTAAAAAATTAGATCTATATTTCATATGTATAAAAATTATGTCACACAAACATAAAATTTAATTTCTATAATACTGTTTTTAAAATTACAAGCTTGGCTAATGCACCATATAAGACAAATCTAGATTTAGATAAAAGTCAACTATAACTCCCGAAATGATGTCTGAGTTTATCATTACCATGTAGCAACCAAAATGGCAACCGTCTTAGACTCAAGACGAAATTTTAGACCTAAATCTAACTCTATATGCATTTACTCCCTAACATCAAGCGATTTAAAAGAAATAGCTGAGCTGGAAGTTTGTTTAAAACTAATAATCTACACATTAATATGCATTTTCTTTAAGAGGCCAAGTTACATTTACATTATGATTACTTTAGAAATGTTGATTTGTAAAATAAAAAAATAAGGTTAAATATTAAATAAATAGATTAAGATTGTTATTAGGCCTAATTATTAGTATATTAGACTATTAGTATTATTAGTAATAACTTATTACTACTTATAAAATAAGTAGACTAGTTAATATTATTAAATAATATTAGGCCTAATAATAATAATAATATTATTACTATTTTAAATATTTTAATAGATCTATATAATAATATTCCATAATACCCCTAATAATTAATAATAATAATATTGTAATATCATTATTATTAGCCATTATTAGGCTATAGTAATACTAGTATTAAGGCCTCTTGAGTGTGTCTATATGCCCCAAAGCATGCTGTATGAACGCCGTGAGTGTACGTTTATCCCCCTCCATAACCATTGTGAGGTAGAACACATCTCACCAATCTCCCAGGTGCCATGGGTGTCACGGGGCAATCTCAGGAGCCACTGCATGGTTTTTTAGTACTCACTCTGAGCTGCAGGTCACCCAACTGCTGTGGTGCCGAGGGACATGCCTGATTCAATTTAGTAGCCCACCTTATCCATAGTGAATATAGCACTCTTTAAAACAAATAGTACTTACTGTGGAGTTTGAGTACTAAATCTCACCATGCTAGTGTGCCAGAGAATGCACCTGATTTGATTTAGTAAATTACTATGGTAGCCCATAGTGTATGGCACTCTTTAAAACAAACATATGTACCATAATGCTCATATGGGAGTCTGGGTGCACCAGGTCACCTGACCGTCAGCGCACCATTGAACATGCATGAGTCTGATAGGCAAATGAAAACATAACACCACTTATATTCCAGTTCTAATCATTATTTGCCAGCACATCATACAGTAGTGATAATTAAAATCACCTACGGATATAAAAAGATTGAAAATTTTACTGACTTCTAAAATGTTTGACATAAAGCTAATGAGGGAAAATTGAAAGTTTCATAACTTATGGAAAAACATAACAGCAACATAGTTTTGCTAATTATTACATATCTGTAGTTGTATTGGGTTGAACTTTCATGCAAAGTTAACATTTTTAAAAATAGCTTAATTAAACCTTAACAACTTCGGTTAGGTTAGGTTTGCCTGTCGTTCCTCCTGGGACATAGGCTGCTGACAAGAGCTTTCCAGGCATCTCTGGGCTAGTCTCTCCAACTGTCCCCAGGCGTATCCAATCTTCTTTGTGTCTTCTTCCAGGTCACGTCTCCAGGTCTTTCTTGGTCTGCCTCTCCTCCTCCTGCCTTGTGGATTCCAGGTGAGGGCCTGTCTTGTTATGCTGGATACAGGCTTGCTGAGTGTGTGGCCAATCCATTTCCATTTTCTCTGGAGGATCTCTACTTCAACTGGCAGTTGATTTGTCTGTTGCCATAGAACATCATTTCTGATGTTTTTAGGCCAGCGAATTCACAGGATCTTTCTGAGGCATGCTTTTATTAATGATTGTATTTTCTTCTTATTTATAGCAGTTATTCGCCATGTCTCAGCTCCATAGAGTAAAACAGGTTTTACTAGTGTGTTGAAGATCCAGATTTTTATTCCAAGGGTTAAATCTCCAGAACCCCAAACGTTTTTTAGTTGGTCCTTATTTTTATGTCTGCTTCTGTCCCACCCTGCTTATCAACAATACTTCCAAGGAAGGTGAATCTATCCACTTCTTCTAGGGCTTCTTCTGCCAATGTTATAGGGTTGTTGTTTGATGCATTGACTTTGAGAACTTTACTTTTCCCTCTGTGGATGTTTAGGCCCAGGCATGGTGAAAAATTAGCAACCCTGTTGGTTTTAACCAAACCTTTACAACTGTGGACAGTAAATCAAACTATGTAACTAATACATTTCTACCCATTATGTTCTAGGAGAATCAGGCTAAGGAACTGCTAGCAAAGAAACTTGGAATACCTCCATGCTTTGATCCTGAAGACCAACAGAAACCTTTGTTTATTAGTTTTCTTTATGATAATTTAAAATTTGCTGCTGGTAAAGGCTTCCACTGGGAACATGTTCGCTTAGTTTTGAAATTTGCTCATGAGTATCTCAAGAGGATTTTGGGTTAGTTTTAAATACAAAAATTCTAAAAGAATTCTTTTACTTTCTTGAACATGTATAATGATTGTGTGTGTTTACTGTGTTTATTCAATTTCATTACTAGAAAACTTTTCAATGAAGTTGATTTCTAAGTGTTTCTTTATCTCCAACAGTTGAAAATCACAAGCTTGTTGATGCTATCCAAGACTTAAAGAGTCTTGAAACAATTTTAGAACCTTTATCAAGCAGACAAAAGCAGCAGTATGCAGATTTTATACTGGAAACTATACTCATGCATTATAATTTATATAAATATGCTTTTTCAAATCCAAGGGATGTCAACACTCAAAAGGTAAAAAGTCTTGATTAATCCCTGTTTCCCTTTTCATTTCAGCTATTTTAGTTTTCTAAAAAAAAAGGTATTAAAATTAAAGGAAATCCTTTGGCATTTTTTTTAAATGCAATTTTTATTCATAAATTCAAAAAATGACAGACAAAAATATTGGACAAAATAGTGTCATTATATATTTATCGCCTTAAGTTATGAATTTGTAATATGTCCTGAGATTTTTTTTATTTACACTATTTTAAAATGTAAACTTACATATGTATCAATTTTTGTTAGGTGAGCAAAGTGGTATTTGTACCAACTAAACCCCTACCTTTATACAAAGGAAAAGAAGCAGAAATATTTGAGTATGATGAACAAATTAAACAGCTTGATAATAAAGAAGCTGAAACCATATCAACCATAAAAGAAAAAATTTCATAGTAAGTGTTTCAAATTTACACAACATTAGATATACATTGTATTATAAATACTTTAATGAAAATAACTGAAAATGTGTGTTAGTTGTTTGTCATGTTAAATCAATCATTTGTATGCCAGATAAAAAACATTGAATTGCATTTTCATTTTTTATGAATCTATTTTTCGTCCAATCTATTTAGTTTCAAAGAAACCTTGGGTGAACATAACTTCTCTGAAGATATCAAGAATGTTCCTACCCCTTATAATAAAATGGTACTTTGATTTTGAATTTTATCAATTTGTATAAGTTTTAAGTGGGGTAAGAACTTTTCTTAGTACATTGTGCTTCTCTTTCATTTTGTTACTTTACTTTGTTGGGAAATCATCACACTAAAAAACTTTAATATTTCCTTTTAAATGGACCAAAATATTGAGGTACAAATTCATGTGCTACAATTTAGGGTTAAATGCAGTATTAGATGTAGAAGTTGAGGTTGGTAGAATAACATTTGCTCTCAACAAAAAGTTGTTTGTTCTTTATGACTGGTTAAGTTTATTAAAACAAAATCTCTACATTTAACTAAGAAAATTTAATTTTACCATTCATCAATTTTAGACTTTGGAGGAGTTAGTAAAAAATGTTCTTGGAGAAATTGTTGAAAAGAAAGAGGCTGAACTTCAACTTCATGTTGAACAAACATTTACAGACCTGAACTTTAAATGTGATAAAACTTCTGTCCCAAGGCCTTCAGTGCTAGGTAATAAAAAGTTTTAAATTATCCAGACTTGCAGTTAATTTAAAATAAACAGTCATGTCAGAAGTTATGAACTTGAAATATTTTTTCTCTTGCAGGTTCTCCACCCAGATTCAATCCAAAGCTGCACCTTGTCACCAGTAAACCAAACACAAGTAACAACAGTTTAAAATCTGATAAGAGAACCAACACCCCGGCAATAAAGACTAGAAGAGAGGGCTCTTCTACATCCAGAAAATCAGAAAACAAGAAAACTTAATTGTATATTTAAGTGGCCTAAATTTTAGATTTTGGTACCTGGAATAATGTTAGATGAGGCATTTTAAAAATACATATATATATGTATACTATCTGTGATTTAATTATACTTATCGTTATACTTAGGCACTTATGTGTAGTTTGGAGTTAAAAATTAAGGCCACCATTTCTAATTTGAAATAATAAGATGAAAAGTTTATTGGTTTAATAAGTTTGTTTTTAAAGAGTTTGAACCATATATTAAAAATATATTTGTAAATTTATTGATTTTAAGAAATTTTAAAACCACAAACTAGTAATTTCAAACATTTGCAAATACCTCTCAGAACAATCAGAGTAATTATGCTTATATTATTTGAGGCTGTTTTTCATGTTATATAAATGAACTTGTGATTTTGCTTTGCTCTAAAATCTAATGTTTTACAGTTATTTGTTGAGTTTTCTTTACACTTCTGGCTGCTTAGATATCAATACAGAATAAATAAACTGTAATAAGATCATCATTTAAAATGTTTACTAAGTTTAGGGTAGAGTTGTGCCCAGGGGCGGAACTACAGTGCCGCCAGACCCCGCAATGCGGGGGGGCCCACGCCATTTAGGGGCCCAGAGCCGACCATAATAAAAAAATGTATAGTTAAAAAAAAAGTACATTTTCTTTCATTTTTGACTTGATGGTTGTTTTGTAAAAAATTACCGTAGCTGCGGTTGGATTATCTTTATCTATAGATACCACCCCACGCTCTTGTATCTTCTTTTTCCCTTTGTTTTTAAACAACTGTGAAAGCGAGTCTTTCTCCTACAATTAAACTTATCAAAGAAAAGCAAATGTTCAAACCACTTCCATGACTTATTTCCCTTTTTTTTTTAAAAATAGTCAAATAGGGGTGATCATAAGCTCCTTTTAATAGATTTGTACTAAACAAATTAAAAAGCAATTACTTCTCTAAGTTATTATTTTTTATAAGTAATTACTAAAGAATAATATTGTATAAAAAGGAAATGTGTTGAAATGCATTAAATCAATAATATTTACGAAATTAATAATATAAATACAAAAAAAAATCATAAAAATAAACATAACACGAGACACCATTACTTAGACAAAGTTTTCATGTTTTATATTATTTTTGACCGTCAGAATGCTTTGAGGGCTTTTATAAAAAATTAATCAATACTGATTTTCACAAAACACACTAATGCACTTATACCAGAGGTCGGCAACCTGCGGCTCGCGAGCCGCAATTTTTTTTTGCGGCTCTTTTGATATCAAGATCCGGCTCTCCAGCTCCTTGAAAAAATACTAATAATCTTAATAAAAAAAATATTTGAAATGAAAAAAATGTTAGTGGCTCTTTAAAACCAGGGAAATTTTGAAAATTGTAACTTTTGGCTCTTCCGCTGCAAAAGGTTGCCGACCCCTGACTTATACACATGACATGATGTTGAAATTTTTTAAATTGATGTTTTTCAAATCCTGAACAAAAAATTTGCGGGGTGGCCCTTTTTTTCTAGTTCCGCCACTGGTTGTGCCACTAGACTGTCAGTAGTGTTGAGCTATTAGACTGGGGATCAGCATAGTCAGACAGGTGAAGCTCATTCTTTCTGAACCAAAAAGTCTCAAGTTCAAACCCCAGGGCAGATGAATCTAGATATCTGGGGGACAGCAGCCCTTCTAGGAGAGAAAACAACTGCTGCCTTGTAGTTTGTTCTTGGATGGACAAAGGCTATGGATGCAAATCCAGTAAGAAAAGCAGGCTGAGATCAAGTCAACTGTGTACAACTACAAGAGTGCATAACATTTCATCATCATCACTCCTTTGTGGCCCCTGGGGAGCAAAGGGCTGCAACCGCACATCTCCATCGGACTCGGTTTTGAGCTGCTCCCTTAGTCTGTGCCCATGAGAGCCCAGCTGTTTTTGCCTCTTCTTCAACCGTTCTTTTCCATGTTTTCCTTGGCCGGCCCACCCTCCTTTTCCCCTGGGGATTCCAGTCCAATGCATGTTTTGCGATGTTTTCTTTTCTTAAGGTGTGTCCGATCCATCCCCATTTACGGGCCTTAATATCTTTCTCTATTGGCTGTTGCTTTAAAATTTGCCACAGGTCTTTGATATTTTGTCTGGCCATCTTATTTTAAGTATATGTCGTAGGCATTTGTTTACGAACCCCTGTAGCCTATCAGTATTTGTCTTCGTAACCCTCCAGGTCTCCGAGCCATAGAGTAGCACTGCCTTAACATTTGTGTTGAAAATCCCAATTTAGCTCCGGAGTGAAAGGGCCTTGGACCTCCACATCGGGCGCAGCGAGTTGAAGGCACATCTAGCCTTGTTGATACGGCATTTTATGTCCTCGTCTGCTCCCCCGTCCTTATTGGTCACGCTTCCCAGATATGTGAATGTGTTTGTTTCTCGTAAATCTTCTCCATTTAGCTGTATCGGCAGGTCCTGGCTGTTATTGATTCTGATGACCTCTGTTTTGTTTTTATTGATTTTTAGTCCAATTTTGGAGGCTTCTTCAGACAGCCGATTTAGTTTGGCTTGCGTGTGTTGATGCTTATGAGATAGTAGGCAGATGTCATCGGCAAAATCAAGATCCTCCAACCTTTTTGTGAAACTCCACTGGATTCCTGTGTCGTTTTTTGTGGCCCTCAGCATGATCCAGTCGATTACCATCAAGAATATCATTGGCGATAGCATACATCCCTGTCTTACTCCCGTCGTCACCGTGAATGGTTTTGTTAGCTTTCCCTTGTGTTAGCTTTCCCTTCTTTGGCAGTTTTATCAGGTATCCCAGTTTCCAGTCAGATGGGATTATCTCTTCTTCCCAAATCTGCTTAAGCAGAGGATGTAGTATGTCTGCTGATATGGCTGGGTCTGCTTTGGGTGCCTCTGGTGGGATGCCGTCCGGGCCAGCTGCTTTGCCATTTTTCATGTTTTTTATTGCTCTTATTGTTTCTAACTTTGTGGGTGGATCTGTACACACATCTAGTAGGTGATTTGCAGGTGGTATATCGAGGATGTTTGATGAGAGAGGATGGTTTAAAATCTCATCAAAGTGCTGTACCCATCTGTCTCTCTGTTCTGTGTCACTTGTTAAGATATTTCCTACTTTGTCCTTTACTGGTTTGTTGGGATTAATATTCTTGCCTGATAGGGTTCTGGTTACTTCATAGAGCCTCTTCATTTTTCCTTGTCGTACCGCAGTTTCTGCCTCCTCTATCATCTCCTGTATGAACTGTCTTTTGTCTTCTTTTGCACTTTTCCTGACCATGCGATTTACTTCACAATAATGCGTTCTGAGGTTTATTTTCTCTTTTTCATCCTTACATTTGTTAATCTTCTGCTTTATCTCTTTTCTATCTTCAATTTTGGCCCATGTCTCTGTTGTGATCCATTCTTTTTGTTCATTTTTTCTTCTCCCCAATATGTCAGTGCATGTTGACTTCCATAGTTCCTGTATTCCTAGCCATTTTTGCTCTACTGTTTCCTCTACTGTATCCTCTGCCAGGCTGCAGAGTGCTTCATACCTATTTTTTACTGCGCCGTTAAAGTCTTCCTTTATTTTTGGACTCAGTAGATATGTTGTATTGAATTTAAAGGGCGGTTTATCAGCTCGATCCCTGTATGATTTTAGTTTTAATTTGCATAACATTTGGTAATACTTAATTGTGCTGGAAGAAATCTCTTCCAACATTTCAATCAAGAATGAAGAAGTAGAAGCTATTAGAGCAGAGCAATATTTATAATTTTAGTACCATAATTCTCATCTTAGAGAACTATACTTTTGGAGTTGGCCTACAATAATGGTAAAAAAATGTGAGGTTTTTTAAATAATTATCAAAATAGGGATAACCAGGTATACTTCTCAGGAGGGGGGGGGGGGCACTTGAAGCTCTTTCCCCACCCCCTTGGGAGCTACCTGAAAGAAATATTCACAGAAAAATAGACTTGATATGAAGAATTTGTAAAGTATTATTGTCTTTAGATCTCTAAAAGAAATCTAACATTTACGAAGGTTTGTATTTAATGGACTGGATCCATATAGGCTTAAATGCAAATTTTCTCTGTTGATAACGTTTTTATAATTCAATTGACTGCCATGTTGGTGTCTTGTGGGCCTCACCATGAAGATTTCTTATTACTGAAGGAGGCCCTACAAACACAAGCCTACACCCATGTACAGACAAGTAGGCTTGATACCCTACAATCAGTGGCGTCACTAGGTCGGGTGAGCACTTTATATCAATACACCTATTAATTCAGGTGGAAAAAGCATCGTTTTCATCGTAAATTATTAGATTTTTTGTGTCACTCTCTCCTTGACTTATCAGTTATTCAAAATACTCAACAAAACCATTTTTCATTTGTAAATTTTGAGTCGGTGTCTAAGAGTGATAGTTTTAAAGTGTGCACAGTAAAGATGTTTATCTAGTGTCAGTTATTGATGCAGTTGGATTAACTCTAATTAATCATTAATTGGACTGGCAGAAAGTATATTTCTATATATTTCGCCATGGTGTCACCCCCCCACCCCCCACCCCTAAATGATATCACCCGGTGCGGTCCGCACCCCCCGCCTCGCGACTCCTCTGCCTACAATCACATAAAGAACAAGTCAGGTGAAACATCTGCCTGAACTCTGAACCTAAACCAAAATTAAACTCTTTAATGAACATTTTATCTACACTTTATGATATCATAAGGTATAGGTGGGAGTCAATTGACCATATAAAAATTTAAAAAAAAAAAGAAAAGTTAACTAGTGTATTAATGCTGTCTTGCTGTGCTTGCATTCATTAATTATTCATCTGATTATACGACCGTGGAGGTTTGATCTACATCACCATATTGAGGACGTCAGTTTTAGCTCCAGGCTAAAAAAAAAAGCCTGTTTTGATTTAGACGCTGCTGTAAAATAGGGAGAAACGTTGTTTGTATACGGACCTATAGGATAATGTCCCACATGAACTACAATATGTAGCCCTAGTAGTCTCTGTATGACATGTATGATGAACCCCCATGACACGTATCACGAAACAAATGTCAGTGTATGACACGTATCATAAAACACTTGATACAGAGTAGGCCCCTATGATACTTATCACGTAACAAATTTATACTTCATCAAATTGGTGCTAATTGGTTACGTAAGCTTAATTTTGTCTTGTATTAGTTCCATGTAAATATAATTGTGTTGTATTTGTTCCGTGTAAATATAATTGTGTTGTATTAGTTGCGTGTACATATAATTGTGTTGTATTAGTTCCGTGTAAATATAATTGTGTTGTATTAGTTCCGTGTAAATATAATTGTGTTGTATTAGTTCCGTGTAAATATAATTGTGTTGTATAAGTTCCCTATTGAAAAAGGTGCGAAGCATACGATCGATGCTGTCTATGAGAACAAGCGAATGATTAATTATGCTCGCCATTGTGATACGAACAAGCGCTCCGACAATAGCAGATGTTATCCAACTCTAACCTCCACTTGTGACTGTTTGGCCTGATAGATGTTTGTAAACGGTCAATATGTTCCTGAAACATCACAGCTATATTCTATCTCAGAACATCCCCATATGTGAATGTTGTTGTCACTTTGTTACTGAAACATCACAGCTATATTCGATGACAGAACATCCTAATATGTGAATGTTTTTGTCAATTTGTTACTGAAACATCACAGCTATATTCGATGACAGAACATCCTAATATGTGAATTTTTTTGTCAATTTGTCACTGAAACATCACAGCTATATTCGATGACAGAAAATCCTAATATGTGAATGTTTCTGTCAATTTGTTACTGAAACATCACAACTATACTTGATGTCAGAACATCCCCATATGTGAATGATGTCAATTTGTTACTGAAACATCACAGCTATACTTGATGTCAGAACATCCCCATATGTGAATGATGTTGTCAATATGTTACTGAAACATCAGTTGCATGTTCAAATTGACATTTTCCTATTTCAATAGGTCCGCTAGCAAACCCGCATATCACTCTACAAATCAAATCCATTACTTTTTCTATACTCCCTTGACACACTCTCACACACATCCACACGACTTAGGCCGCGAGAAGAATAGAAAATAGCCTAAAGAAAATACACGTGTGTGTAGATGTACTGTGTTAGGGATGGGCCTCTCGTCTCATTTGTTCGAGTGACCAAACGCATTGTTTCAGTCAGTGCGTGCGCCAGATACTACACCAATCAATGATAGATTGTTGAGCTTGTGTTTCCGCGTGTTGATGCGAAGGTAGGTTTACATTTACATTATTCTCTTCAAGGATAATTTTCTTGGACGTGGTATCAAATTAAAGAGGAAACGTTAAATTATTATTTTTTTTTATATTTAGATCTATTAAGTCCGATTTTGAATAAAAGAGTAAAATAATAAAATTCTATTTGATACGTTTTTTAATGTAGTTTAATTAAAATAAATTTAAAACGTACGAACGAGTGCAATATGGACACATTTTTTTTTTAAAATCAATAAAAAGTACACAGGTAAGAGTGCAATGTTGTCCACACGCTAAATGCGCATGGTGCAAGAAGGTCCACACTTCTGCTGTCCAGGTGTCACATTGGTGCTAATCTGTCAACGTGTCGTGTCGCATTGGTGCTAGGCTGTCCACACTAACTGTCTACGTGTCATATTAGTGCTCGGCTGTCCACACTGTCTACGTGTCATATTGGTGCTAGGCTGTCCACACTAACTGTCTACGTGTCATATTAGTGCTCGGCTGTCCACACTGTCTACGTGTCATATTGGTGCTAGGCTGTCCACACTAACTGTCTACGTGTCATATTGGTGCTAGGCTGTCCACACTGTCTACGTGTCATATTGGTGCTAGGCTGTCCACACTAACTGTCTACGTGTCATATTTGTGCTAGGCTGTCCACGCTATCTACGTGTCATATTGGTGCTAGGCTGTCCACACTGTCTACGTGTCACATTAGTGCTAGGCTGTCCACACTAGCTGTCAACGTGTCACGTCTGTGCTCGGCTGTCCACACTGTCTACGTGTCACATTAGTGCTAGTCTGTCCACACTAACTGCCTACGTGTCATGTTGGTGCTAGGCTGTCCACACTAACTGTCTACGTGTCACATTAGTGCTAGGCTGTCCACACTGTCTACGTGTCATATTGGTGCTAGGCTGTCCACACTGTCTATGTGTCATATTGGTGCTAGGCTGTCCACACTAACTGTCTACGTGTCATATTTGTGCTAGGCTGTCCACACTAACTGTCTACGTGTCATATTGGTGCTAGGCTGTCCACACTGTCTACGTGTCATATTGGTGCTATGCTGTCCATACTAATCTGTTCACACTGTCTACGTGTCACATTGGTGCTAGGCTGTCCACACTAACTGTCTACGTGTCATATTGGTGCTAGGCTGTCCACACTGTCTACGTGTCATATTGGTGCTAGGTTGTCCACACTACGTGTCATATTGGTGCTAGGCTGTCCACACTAACTGTCTACGTGTCATATTGGTGCTAGGCTGTCCACACTAACTGTCTACGTGTCATATTGGTGCTAGGTTGTCCACACTAACTGTCTACGTGTCATATTGGTGCTAGGCTGTCCACACTAACTGTCTACGTGTCATATTGGTGCTAGGCTGTCCACACTAACTGTCTACGTGTCATATTGGTGCTAGGCTGTCCACACTGTCTACGTGTCATATTGGTGCTATGCTGTCCATACTAATCTGTTCACACTGTCTACGTGTCACATTGGTGCTAGGCTGTCCACACTAACTGTCTACGTGTCATATTGGTGCTAGGCTGTCCACACTGTCTACGTGTCATATTGGTGCTAGGTTGTCCACGCTACGTGTCATATTGGTGCTAGGCTCTCCACACTAACTGTCTACGTATCATATGTTTTCTAGGCTGTCCCCACTAACTGTCTACGTGTCATATTGGTGCTAGGCTGTCCACACTGTCTACGTGTCATATGTTTGCTAGGCTGTCCACACTAACTGTCTACGTGTCATATTGGTGCTAGACTGTCCACACTAACTGTCTACGTGTCATATTGGTGCTAGGCTGTCCACACTAACTGTCTACGTGTCATATTGGTGCTAGGCTGTCCACACTGTCTACGTATCATATTGGTGCTAGGCAGTGGCGTAGCGAGGTCGGGTGTCACCCGGTGCGGCACTTAATGGTGTCACCCCCCCCCCCCCAGAGGCGTAGCGACCCTTCCCGGGGACAAACTTTCAAATTTTCGATTTGCACCCCCCCCCCCTCAAACTTTCGATTTGCACCCCCCCCCCCTCAACTTTTTCTCCATATATTTTGCTATTTTTTGCCTTGGTGTCACCCCCCCTAAATGGTGTCACCCGGTGCGGTCCGCACCCCCGCCCCCCCCCCCTCGCTACGCCCCTGGTGCTAGGCTGTCCACACTAACTGTCTAGGTGAAAGTACCCCCCCCCCCCTCGATTAAAACTGTGCTTCATTAGATTACAATAAACCAGTTTTTACAAAGGCAATGGGGTCAGGCAATTCAGAGTTTCTTTAAGACATTTTGCTCATACTTGCTTGCTTATAAAGCTACCGACGGACGGAGCTGTGGGTTTCTCTTGTTATGTTTGTGTTTAAATAAGAAAATTACTAGTGACACACAACGGTGTCGAAATGAAGCAAAATAATTATTTTCGGCTTTAGAATGTTCTTTATTATATACATATCATGGTAATACGCATTTGATTTCTTAGTGGAAAGAGAAGAAATAATAACATTACTGATGTTCATAAAAGAAAGCAAATAGGCCTCGTTGACCTATAAATAGACTAAACATTTGAGTGTTTGTTAATGCTATTTGTGCTTCGGGAGCAACGATATTGGAGAGGGGAGTGTTACAATAAATGTCTTCAGATAAAATTTACCTAGGTGAACTACACAGTTGTCAGGCATCCCCCTTCATAAAACTATAAAATAGGAACGGCCTCAATATTTTGTGATGCGGGTTTATCTAAGTAGAATACAAATAATTGACATTTTCAACCTGTTGCATATTTTATGAATAAAACAAATTAAAATGTGTCTAAAAAACTCTTGCTTAGACATAGCAAATTGGCCGTCGGGCATCAATATGCAGTTTCTTACAGACATCTACTGCCCCCCCCCCCCCCGAAGAAAGTCTACCGCCCCACCCCAGAGGCGTAGCGACCCTTCCCGGCGCCCGTGGACAAACTTTTCGATTTGCACCCCCCCCCCTCAAGATTTCGATTTGCACCCCCCTCAAACTTTCGATTTGCACCCCCTCAACCTTTCAATTTATTTTTCCAACCCATTTTGGCGCCCCCTAAGGTCGGCGCCCGGGGATATATGTCCCCCGCCCCCCCTCCTCGCTACGCTGCTGCCCCTTCCCCTCCCCCCTCCCCCCCCCCCCCGAACGTTGGTGGCCCATACTCCAGCAGGACAGAGAACTCTGGAGAGCTGTGACGTAGTTGGTGGACCATACTCCAGCAGGACAGAGAACTCTGGAGAGCTGAAGTTGGTGGCCCATACTCCAGCAGGACAGAGAACTCTGGAGAGCTATAGTTGGTGGCCCATACTCCAGCAGGACAGAGAACTCTGGAGAGCTGTAGTTGGTGGCCCATACCCCAGCAGGACAGAGAACTCTGGAGAGCTGTAGTTGGTGGCCCATACTCCAGCAGGACAGAGAACTCTGGAGAGCTGTAGTTGGTGGCCCATACTCCAGCAGGACAGAGAACTCTATACAACTGTTATTGGTGGCCCGTGCACAAAAATATTAGAAACCTGGAGAGTTGACGGATCACACCCCGATGGATGATTATGAATGTTTAAGTATAAGAAATCCGATGTCTACGTCAGGCATAGTGACATTTTTATATGAAAAAGTAAGTTAGCGAATATGAAACAGCTAATATGAACCAATTATGAAACCACCGATTTAAAACGGCAGCTACGAAGCCGTCAACGATTGTAAAGGGTCAGCCACATTCCATCCTGAACATTCGCGATTTAGGCCTATCGATTTAATGTTGCTGGTGATAGGCCACCGTCTAGGACAGTTAATTATCTAAAGTAGGCTTACGATATCTACTAGACAGGCTACTAAAAACTCACGTTTCTCAAAGTATCAATATTTATTTAATTTAACTTAACTATTGCTATTGACTATTGGTTGGAATAGCCTACTTGTAGGCTTCAGAGACCTAAAGAAGACACTATCCTTTAGGATTAGCAGGGGCTATCGTGGACTGCACAATTATTATTTAGTACATGTACTGTGATGCATTTCCTTAGCCCCCACTCCTTCGTCCTTACCCAATGTTTCGCATCTGTCAATGTACTATGGTTATTACAGTCAATACCTAGATCTATACTCTATAAGACAGATTCCCTTTCTCATGACTCAATTCCCCCCCCCCCCCCCCTATCATTATTTCTATTTTTCCGATGCTCTCGTCTTTCTAAAGAATAAGGAAATGAATGGTTCCGGGTTAATACATTTGGATCACTGCGTTCATGGTTTCAGCTGTTCCACAGGTTGTTTTAAAAATTAAACTTTAAAATAAAGCCTCATCTAGAACTAGATCTAGGTTAATTCTAATTGTCATTGTGGACATAGTACGATTTGATCTTTTATAGTTAGGGATGCATATCGTAACATGCGTATTATTTATGCAATAGAGATTGAAGTTAAAAATCTATTTTGAAAATATTCAGTTTACTTTAGTAAGTTACTTTAGTAACAGACAGACACTCTTCAGTCTACAGTAACAATTACTAACATACATTTACAAAAAAAAAGTAACACTTAACAGTAACACAGGCAGTTAACTAACAGTAACAGCATTTTAAAAAATTCATTATCAACTAGATTCCAGACTTAATCCTTTTTTTATTTTTTACTTTTGGCTTGGCTTTTTGTAATTCTTCAAATCAAATAGTATTTATTAGTAGGCCCCTATTAAAGGCTATACTATTATGGCCTATGGGGCCTATACTATAGTTACTATAGGCATAGGCCAAAATACTAATAGGCCTACAATCCTAAATTAACATTTACATTGACATTAGACATTAGGCCTATACTATTAATTAATTAGGCCTACCTAGTCATTTTAGTAAAGTAATTAGGCCCTATCTAAATAGGCCTAATTAATTAAGATTAGCAACCCACATAGATTAATAATTAATATTATTATAACAAAAGTGCTGAATGCAAAGCCAACTATTGAACTATTATTTTTAAAGATAATTAGGCCTAAGCATAGTTAATAGGTTTAATTAGTTTAGTTTCACTTTTCTATTTAAAATTTAAATTTAGTCAATTTAAAAGTTTAGTTAGGCCCTAGATTTGTGTTTTAATGGTGTCTTTGTTTCAAAGAGAATGACAGCGTGCACTAATAATGACTTAATAATTTATAGAATTTGATTGGAGAAAAAAAATTAGATTAAAAACAATCCATATAAAATTAAAATTGTATTCTTTTCTTTTAATACAGCAGTACAATATAATATGAAAATGATTTGGGTGCAGCTACTAATGTTTTTCTGTTGTACAACACTCTTGGGAGCAACCCCTGAAAATTCAGAGCATGGAGCACACAAACTCTCTGAATCACATTACAAAGATGGAATTCATAATCCTGTATTTGATCAAGAGGCATTGCTAGGTAAGCAACGAGAGAAAAACATCATAAAAATCCAACACAATCAGATGAAGTTAATTTCATATAAGTGGCTATAAAATATATAATGTACTATTTTTTAAATAAAAATTCAATTATTTGTAATTAATTTTTTTATAGGATCTAGAAAGTATGATGATCTTGCTGAATTACCCCAAGAGGTCCGCATTAAAAGGCTACGAAACCTTGCAAAATCACATGATACTAATAATAATGATATTATAGAGACCTCTGAGCTCAAGGATTGGATTTTACAGTCTTTTCGGTAAATTTTCAATTAATTGAAGATGTATAATATTAGATGCCAAAGAATTTTCAGCTCTTAATGTACTAATTTTTAAACTATTAATTTTTAACTATTAAATAAATGTTTTTGAAAATTATTTTAAATAATATTTGATTTAATCAGATTACATTTTACATAGAATGCTAGACAGAGAGGAAGCACTAGATAAATTAAAAGATGATGACGAGAATGGAGATGGAAAAATAACTTTTGGAGAAATTTTACATAAACAGTTTGGTTATACAGAAAGTGATCTAGCCGACCTAGAAAATATTGAGAAAGAGGAAGAAGGCACAGATGTACTTCAGGTAAATAATTGTAGTCTAGATGTTTTTAATCTGTAAATAATAAATTGAGTGGCACAAAGCTATTGTAAAAGAAAAGTGTACAGTTTGGTACATGACTGGTGTATATTATTATCAATTTGTTTAGTCATACAAGGTTAATTACATTTTTAAATGTTTTCTACTTTATTATTAGTTGGTGACTGATGACAAGAAAAGATTTAATGCAGCTGATTTGGATAAAGATGGTGTGTTAGATGAAAATGAGTATATTGCTTATTACCAACCGTATGACTTTCCTCATATGGCTGAAGTGGAAATGGAAAAAGCTATGAGAGATGCAGATAAAGATAAAGATGGTTTTGTATCCATTAAAGAATTTATTGGAGGTATGTTTTTTTATGTATGTTGTTTTTTGTTTCTCTCTAAGAGAATAATATGTTGTTTTATGTTTTTGTTTTAAAGTCTACCATTATTTTTGAAAATAATTATTAATACTTAGATTGAAATGTCAGTTTCTTAAATAATGTATGAGAATCTAAAATAGTTTAAATACATGCAATAAAATTAAAATGTACCCACTTTAATGTAAACTTTAACTCTGTAGATCATGTTGATGAGGAAGTGAGGTTGTCAGAAATGACCAATTTTGAAGAGCTGGACATTGATAAAGATGGCAAGCTGACACCAGAGGAACTAAAGCCATGGGCACTGCCTGACAATGAAGATGTGGCAAAAGAAGAAGTAGAACATTTGCTTAACATGTGCGATAAAGATAAAGACGGGCACCTGTCAATTGAAGAAATTGTAATGAAAGAAGATGAATTCCTTGGTAGTTCTGCAACAGACTATGGCCGCACATTACACTTTGTTAAAGATGAACTTTAAAGTAGGATTATTATTATCAGTTTAAGGCTTTAATAAGTGATTTTTAAAAATTATTTGTTGTTCTGAAAATTCCATTAGATTTAATAATTTCAAAATGCAATACTTAATCTAATTTTTTTTATAGCTTTCATTTTTGATAGTGGATAGAAAAAATATTTCTAAAATTAAATAATTTTTAAAAATTATATATCTTTTTTAATTAATGGAAATACTATTTTTTGTATTTAATTAACTTACTAATTTTTAAAATAGATTTTTCCTATCTAGTAAAGCATCTTTTATAAGCTATGCCAGCTTTAAAAATGCCAATACTTTTATATTAATATATATTTATGGAACAAGGCAAAAATATATCCAGATTGCAGCTCAAAAGAATTCTCAATAATATTGTTTTTCAACAGTCATGTGTGTTAAAAATTAATATTCTCTGTATTTTTATAGCAAGTTGTTTAATTTAAATGCCATTAAAATTAATTATGGTTTTGAGTTTTAATCAATGAACTTTTACATTGTTTATTTAAACAAGTACTCAGCCTAAAGTGTGAATGGAATTTATTTAAATTAGATTTTCTTTGTGAGTGTTGAATTGGATGTAATTTATGTTTTATAAGTTAGTTTTCATTAATGAGAGAATGGATACACTTGTAAAATTGTCCTGTTTTTAACACTTCAGTTGTTGACATTTTGACCACAATTTCAGAGCATCACCCATAACAATATCTTCTAAGATAATGTTACTAACTTTTCTTAGCAATTTTGTTTCAGCCTGATCAATATGTGAACAAAGGCAAATTACATTTTTAATTAAAGAAATGTTAAATGATGTATTTAGTGTTTTTATTTGTTAGACTGATTTGTGTAACAACTAAGTTCAAGGTCAGACAAATCTCTGACCTGGATTTTTGTATTTGTCAGGTTCAGGCTTCCTTTTTCATCTGACTGTCTGCCTTTTTTATCATTTTCCTAGATGGGGCTTAGTTTTACAAATGCCATTTATAATATAGTCAGTACACACATACACAACACACATGAAATTATAAGAATGTCGAAGTACCTGGTAAATTTGTATTGAATATGTTTATTAAATTTGAATTTTAGACTCCAACCCCCCCCTCCCTCCCCATGTGAGGGGAAGGAGGGTGGTGGAAGTAAGAAGTAGTCTCCTCTGTTTCATGATCTCAATCTCTGTTTACTTCATCATTTCTCATTTTATAACAAAAAATACTCAATTGCATTAGGCTTGGTAAGCATTCATGCAAGTCTGGAAACTGTCTAGAAAAAGTAAATTTTAGACTTTTTAAGTCTGGAAAACTTAGCTTTCTGGCTGGCTTATAAAAATATCTGGGAAATGTTAATAATTTAATTTTAGAAATGAAACTTGTCCATGATGTCTTAAAAGTCTACAGCGTGTAAACTTTCATGTGAATGTGCTAAGACTATCTAAAATTGCTCTTTATTGAATGTGTAATCAAGCATGGACACTGTATACCTCTGTGTACACACTATTTTTCCTAAAGATAGTCAGAGAATGGAGGCAGTCATAAAATATTTTTTATCAAAGAGGGTGGGTAAACCGAACTATTTGATGTCATTTGTGGCTGTCTAGCTATTAATGTCTATATGGTGTGAGGTGATATTTGTTTAATCGTGTTGTCATATTACTTTTACAAAACTTTACAGACACTTCTTGCTTCATGCGTTTCCATAACAAACCACATCTCCCACTTTTCTCGTGAGCCCTACACACCTGACCACACGACACATTCCACATGCGCCGTTATTTAAATTTCTAATTTTAAAACGTGGTTATTCTGAGTTTGAAAAAAACTAAATCAATATCGCCTTAGGAGTTGACACATGATTTGGTTGCACGATCTATTAGGTCTACATCCCTCTGCCATCCACAAAAGTCAATATTTTTTCTGACTCTCCCCCTCCCGTGTGGATGTCATAAGTGGATGACCCCTAAGACTTGTCATTATGGGGTTCCATGGAGTGGGGATATATACCACTTTCTCCCCTTTGTGATTTGACATTCTTTCCAGATGACTTAACCATCACAATGTTGCATTTAAATATCTGCCACTCGTGTAAGGTCTTTGAATATTTTATGATTCTCGATCCATTCTTATCTCATCTGTCTAAATATTTTTAGGATTTTTCTCTCCAGTGTTTTTAGTGAATTAGCTGACCAGTGAAAACATTTGTGTTTTGAACCAGGTCTTCCCTGGTCAATTTACTTTTGCACTACTATCAACACTAATTTAATTCCTCATCTGAACCTCTAATCTCAGATGTCTTTTTTTAGGAATTTTATTTTTGTTCTCATTTGCACCACTTTGAGCTAGGCCCACACTGCAGGAAGAAAACAAAATGAAAAAAATAAATCTCATTTAAAACATGGTATATCTGTAAATCATTTAATAAAAAAGACTTGTATTTACATAAATGCACCATAATTATGATAAAACACTTTTTTTCATTCAATGGCTGCTAATTTTGACAAAAAGTTCATGATTAGAATAATAGAATGTCACGATTAATTTTAGAAGGGTAACAATAAAAATCTTTATATCCAAGATAATAATCAGTAGCAGAAAAAAAATACAGAATTCAGTTTCAGATCAATTTAACACTTGCTGTAGCTATATACAAAATATTAAAAGAAAAGAAGAAAATGTAATATTCTTAGTTTTCTTTTGCTGTACACAGATAAAACTGCTGATTTTTATCCTTCATGAGCTCAACTTGTGTTTTATATTGTATATTACAACCATCATCTTCTGTACTTTTTCAAAATTCTCTGTAGAATAAGAATGCAAACAGATTAGTAATAGTTAGAGAAAATATGTCAAAAGTATAAATAAACTTAAATTCATGGTATGTAAATTATCTTAGATAATGGTTGATTTATATATACACTGACCTTTGCCACAGCCTTGACATGTTCAGCTTTAGTACTTTTAGCACGAGCATTTCTGGCCTCTCTGTTGGCTTCCTTCAGGAGATCATGGAGAAACAAGTTGTAATGAACTAGAAGCTGAAAGAAACAAAATATTTTTTTGACTGCCAAAAAACAAAAGCATGAAATTTTGTAAAAAATTGGATGATTCAAGATATGGATCTCCAATAATAGACTCTTCCAAAAATATGTGTGTTAAGACAACAAGGTTGTTAGGAGTATCTAAATCTCAAGTTTTATGGTTCAAAATTATTAGGGTTAGGCATATGGTAGGACTAGGGTTGGGGCCAGGGAATAGGGTTAGCACTGACATTATCATGTGTTTATTATTTTAGTTAACTACCAGTAGCCTATCACCCTTTTTAAAGAAGATTCTATATTCTATTATATAGGCCCTAATAATATTATTGGACACTGGTAGGCCTATAAAAAAAATCCCCCTATAAATGATATCCTGTTTCCTAATCATTAGCCTAATGTTAGGAGTAAAAATGAAATTTTTTTCAATCATCAGTTTGGGTAAGTTTCAATGACTAAATAACTAACTAGAATCTATATATTATAATTATATAATATATATTACTTAGTTATTTCACTGATTCACAGGAACTCACCAAAGAAGGAACTGGGCCTTTCGTAATTTTAGTGTTATTGAGTGTGCGAAGAGATCTCTTTTTCAGTTTGGCTCGATTGAAGTGCAAAAGAATAGTCATTTTTAAGCTCTACTTTTAATTTTTATTTAAATGCCAAAACAAAAGATAAGAAGTAGATCTAGAAAAATCTCCCCTTTTTCATTTGTTGTGCTATGAATATGAACACAAAAGAGCTCTCTAGTAAAAAGTTTAAATGAACAAATTCGAAGAAGAAAGAAATAGTCTGAACAATATTTTTTTAACTAGGCCAAAACAAAAACACGCTTTAAATTAATCGTGAAAAAGAAAGAATAGTAAGTGTTTACCTTTTAAATCGGTATCACCGCCAGAGTCTCTTCCAGTCATCTCTTCGCGAAAAAGTCTACCGCCTCACCCCCCGAACGAAATGGAATTTATATAGAAAATATATACGTTTAACAGTGTCCACCCCTCCCCTGAAATTTTAGTCCGCCCCCCCCCCCCACCCGAAAACTTCAAGAGCTCCCCCCCCCCCGCCCGGAGAAAACAGTCTGCCAGAAACACTGACCACCGATCAAATCAAATCTAAACTTAAGACTGGTCTTTGCACTTAACCCGAACCTTAGTTGTGATCTGAGTGGTAACCTACAAACAATATGTTGCATGACTACTGATCTAACTACTTTTGTTAGAGGACACATCTTTAGGTTAATGACGATACGCTTTTTTGTACCATTTACCCCCCCCCCCATTCGCAGTGTTTGTTTTAAAAATTTGTATTGGACTAGGATAACATTAGATATATTGATAAATTTTTAAATTTTAATTATTCACGTTAGCGAAACACACAACTGTAAAAAAAAAAGAAGAAAACAAAACTTAGGTTCTTGAAATAAACATCTAATGAAACAAATATTTTAAAAAACTTTTTTTGTGAATATGGGGGCTGAGGGGGTATATTTTGTACATAAAGACCCCCCCCCCTTCCGAAACTCTATGAATAATATTTAGGTTGTTGCTCGTAATTTTTATTAACGGTATACATAAAATAACATCTATTAATATTAGTAGTAGGGGGTCTCTGAAATCAAACAACTGCTGCCTTGCAGTTTGTTCTTGGTTGGACAAAGGCTATGGAAGCAAATCCAAAAAGAAAAGCAGGCTGAAATCGGAGTCAATGGCCTCAATGGCGCATAACCAGTTGACACGTAATACTTAATTGTGATGGAAGCATGGTCGAGTCGGCAAAAAGCTCATGGTTGATAAATTCGAAAAAAAAAAGTCTCGAGTTCAAACCCTCTGGCAGATAAGGATCGATCCCTCCCAACACTAAAATTAAGAACGAAGAAGAAGAATATTAGTAGCGATGTGCGTGGTCATACATCATTTCCTACTCATAATTAGGTTATTTTACTGGTGAATGGCTCATAATTCATGACACGTTAATAAAACAATGTAGGCCACAAGTGTCTACTTTGTTTGTACAATGTAACTGAAGACAATTGCTGGTTTAGTCACCCTTTGTAGGGTTGTGGCACATCATTTCCTTCTGGTAAAATTTGTATGGGTTATGTTTCTACTTTCTCTAGCAAGCAATGTGCCAACACAACACTTCACCAACACAATTGGTGAACTTCTAAAAACTGGCCCTCCCTTTTAAAAGGCCCCCAGAACATTTTTACCCTCCCACTTTTGGATCCTCTTTTTCCCGTTTGTGCCCAAGACACACAGGGCAGATGGAGAAGAGTTCATCTGCTTCAGAGACCTCGGCATATGAAGGAATGGTGTGGTTAGCACTATGTGCAGCCGCCTTTGTTTTCCTAACTTGATTTAGGTATCCATCAGAGCTGGGAGGCCTCAGGGACATTCTACTGACTTGAACCCTGATTCAATCAAGCTTGAGACTTCCATGTTAGCAGTCTTGCACTAGGCCATGCTGTACCAAGCACTCTTGGATACTGGTGTTATTTTGGATATTCAGAGGGTGTATTGTCTGCCTGACTTCCTTTCTAATATCTCCTTCAGGGTTATTATTTACAGTATGTAATTTCAAAGTTTGTTTGAAATGGCTTCAACCAAAATATTCTTCAAATTAATCTCGATTTTTATTCACTACACCAACCATATTTAAAACTGCAATGGTCTGGTAATAGTAATTGTCTATCAATTTTGAAGTATTTTGTTGTCATCCATAATTGGTTAAAAAAAAAAAACTCAATAAAAAACTATAACAACAAATTTAAATTTATCTCTATTGTAGTTTTTAATCATGTATATTTCATCACATCAACAGGCTCCTCACACTGACTTTCAATTAAATAACAAAATATTTACATATGTATATAACATTTCTCAATGTTTATTTTTATACATAAAATCTATCTTCTTGACCTTCTTCTGTTCTTTACATCCTTTTCTTTATAGAAATCAATTTTCTTATTCATTTCTTTTATTTCTTGTCTTTGTAAACGACGTTTCTGTAAAATTAAAATACAATGTAATATTTTCAAAACAGTAACTTAAAGTAAAAGTAAAGAGCTGAATTAATCTTTGTACAATGATTAAATTGATTATAAAAAAATGAATGTAGTTGTTAATTTTTTTCAATAGACTCTTGAGGCTAAAATTAATTACAGACATTATGATTTGGGTGGAGATGAAAAGAACTTACAGCCAATCCTGTAACCTTTGGTGTGGCTTCAGCATCATCCTCTTCTTCTCTCTTTCTTTTATTCTTTCTCTTTTTACTAGATGATGTAGCTTGAGGAGTTTTCACCTTGTCACTTTGAGGAGTAGCACCTAAGCAATAAACACATTTTTCTTTTAGAATGAAAAAACTTGACATAGTGACTCACCAAACAGTAAAGACCAACACAATGTAATGTCGTAGAAATCTAATTTAAACAAGATTTTACCTGTAGTTTTCCTCTCCGTTGACGAAGGGGTTGTTTGAGGTGCAGCTTGTATATCACTGACAATCATGACCCCACTGGGGGTGGAGATTACATTACATTTACTTTTCTTTGCTTGGGGCTTATCTTCAACTTCATCTAATTTCCTTTTCATGGCTGATGAAACTGTTGGCGATTTTTTGCTTTCACTAACAGATTGACTTTTGTCAGAAGAAAACAGTTTATTTTTTAGATTTCTAAGCTTTGAACCTTTTTTCTGTGAAGGTACTGCATCAATGTCAGAAGCAAGACTAATAAAATGTGGTTGTCTGTGCACAACAGTGCTCTTGGGGGATTTTGTTTCATCATGTTTTTGTACATCACTACTTGGGTCTGTTGATTCTCCACCCTTTATAGATTTTTTGGATTCCCTTTCAAGTTTCTTAGCACGAATTTCTTTTATGTTTTGTTTTAGTTTTGCCATTTTTTTCTTGATATCCCCTAATTTTCTGCCGGTTATTTCAAAGAATGGATGTATTGCTGCCAAGCCTTTATTCTTCTTATTCTTGTTATCTTCATGTTTAGAATCTGGGTCTTCAGTCTCACTGTTGTTTGCATTTATGTTGCTGGATTCTTCTGCTTCACTGTCTTCTTCCTCATCATGGCTCTGTTCCTGCTCCTCACTGGCATCATCGTTCAACTCATTTTGTTGAGTTTTATCTTCTGTAATTGAATTATCTACGTCAATGGGTATTTCTGTCTCAGCTGAGGCTTCCTCTACAGCTTCATTAGGTGGAATATTCTCATTTTCTGTTTCTTCCTCAACATCCAACTGTGGAATTTAATTATATAAAATATTAACAAAAATACTTTTTCAAAAGATCAATTAAAAAGCACACCTTTATAAGAACAACATTACTTAATAGAGAAGGATGACCCAGATTTTGGGGGGGGGGGGGGGGGGGGGGGGGTAGGTTGAAATATAGTGACTTTTTGGACAAATCCATACACGTGTATCTGAATATCTGCACATCTTATAATAAGTTACAGGGTGAATTCCAGACTACCTAGGACCATGAGTTGGAGTGATAGAGAAAAGTCTGCATGCAAACTTTGGCACAGTTAAAAACATCCCACAGTAATGACCAACAATTCATATAGAAGCTGTCAAGTTACCATGACACTATTTTTTAACATAACATCCTTTGTTAAAGCTTGGCAGCCATCTAGACCAATTAAATCATTTTTGTATATACGATATTCAAGTTCTTTGTTATACAAAAGTGTTAACCCTACATTTTATGTAAGGACAATTTAAGTAAGATTCAAGTCTTCAAATGGGGATGGATAGGGCATGCCAAAGCGATCCTGGAAAAGGATAGTAGAAGGAAAGACAAGGTTGCGAGCTTATGTGGGATCACATAAAGACAGCTGCCCAAAACAGAGTCCACTGGAGAAATGTGACTGCAGGCCCTTGGACAACTCGAGCTCAAAAGGAATATGCAAATGAGCAAATATGACTTTCAAGTTAGTTTTTATACAGATAGATTAAAAAAAGGTGTTAAACCTAAATTTTAATGTAAAAACAGACTTATGCATAAATTAAACAAAGCACCTTAATATACATATAAAAATAAATAAATACCTCAGATTCAGGTGGCCGTACAAAATAAGGTATTTTCCCCCTTTGGTAGTCATTCAGAACATTCTTGGCAACTGTACTAATATCAGCTTCACCTCCCTGAAAAAAGAAGGACAGCAAGTTATGTTAAGGTTTAAAAATTAGAAATACATGTGAAACATTAACATTTTAAGAAGGCCCATTTCTGAATGTATAAACAAAACTTTCAAAGTAAAAAAAAAAATAAAAAATTCCAATAGTGTTACCTACCTTTAGTAACCTTCCAGACTTTTTAGCCACCTGTTCTAAAAAGTCTTCAGGGCTTTCCCACTCTGTAATACCATAAGTTTTCTGGATATATTCTTTCTTTACTCTCTCCAATACTGCATGGATATAATCTTCTGGCTGATTGACCTTTTCAACCCGGACCTGTAGGATTATACACTTAATCAATCAACACTTACAATGATTAGACTTGTTTTCAATGAGTTAATGAGAAAATGATTAACTTGCTATTGAAAATTAAGCAGGAAACTTAAGACTAATACAAATACTTACAACTCCTTTCAAAACCAAGTCGGTCTGAGTTGCTCCAGTGGGGTACACTATACCAGGACAATCAATTAAAAACAGGTTGTTCATCAGTGTAACATACTGCCATACCTGGGTGAATTAAAGCATATTTGATCTAATGATCATTTCATATGTTTAATTTAAGGAGAAGGTGTTATACAGATGTTGCTAACAAGAGATGTAACTAACCATTATAAAAACAGTGATCAGGATAATCAAAAGATGTTAATATAAAAAATAGCTAATTTGTTGATCTAAAAACGAGCAGCTGTTAACTTCTGTTATTTAATGAATACCTTCGCTTAAAGACTGAGCAACCAATCTGGACAAAAAGGTCTCTAAAATTTTCAGATAACTTCCAGTTACTTCCTACAAATTTAACAGCTGATTGTCTAATGAATCTCACCTTAGTTTCTCCAGGTACTGGGGCTACATTACAAACTTTCTTTGACTTGAGAGCATTAATTATGGAGCTTTTGCCAACATTGGGGTATCCTATCAACCCAACACTTATCTGTTTCTTATCACTGTGTAGCTTGATAAAGATAAATAATACAACTAAATATAAAAATGCATCAGAATAAAAACAGTCTACTTATAGTTTTTGAGCTTTAATAAAATACAAGGTGATGGTGTGATGCACCTTTTCATCGGATTTGGCAAAAGCAACAATGTTAAGGGCTAATGTACTTCCAAAGCATTTATTTAAGTCAACTAAACTGAAGTAGGCAGAATCTGGTAAACTTAACCAAAACTGTTGTTTAAAAAAATGTAGTTGTAATACTCACCCTGGTAAATTGTCGAAGTAGTGATATGAGATCACCTTTGCCAAAACAATTTGTTATGCTAGCCCTGAAAGCCATAGTTGGATGTTCTGAAGAGAGTATAGCTACCCACTTTTTCTGAACAAAAGAAGTAAAATAATCAATTAAAGTTACAAAAAGTGACAGTATGGATTTTTACTAAAATACTATATTTTAAAAAAAAGTGTCAACTTACAACAGCCCAATTAGGAACTAAGTCAGCCTTGTTTAAAACAAATAATAAATGTTTATGAGGCTTTTCTTTCTTCAAGTAGTTTTCAACTTGTCTACATCTTGTTCCTGCAGGATCTCTAGCATCTAGTACTTGGACAATCACATCAGAAGAATCAATAACCTGTGGCAAAATAAGACAATCAAAAGGCATGTCTTTTAAACAGTTGAACATCAGTTACATCAAGCCAATAACGAATCTACACAAGGGTTTAATATAAATACACAAAATAAACTGTGGGTGACAGACAAGTGATGTTTTTGATAATTTGAACCACTTGAGCTTGTGCTTTACAAGTGGCTTGATTTTTCAAGAATTAATGTCAGGTCCACAACTGACAAGGAATAAAATGTCCCTTGTTAAATAAATAAGATGGACCTGTTCATTGAAATATATTTTTGTAAACAACTTAAAAGTACTTTATGATAAATGTGAGTAATATCAAATAGATAAAAAAAAGAGGTTCCTGATGTAAATAATAATCCACATGTGTCACATTTATATAAAAATTATGACTACATGCAAAGTATTACAATTAGCAGTAACTACATACAGGTTCTTTATTTGCTAAAATATTTTTTGAGGATTATTATTTTTACTAGAGTAGTACTGATTTTAACTTTGAGAAAAAAAAACCCATTTGTTTTTTAATTTAGTTCTAGCATATTTTAAGAATTAAAAAAAAAAAGCACTTATACATGTCATCAATTATCACATAGAAACATTTAATACTAATTGTAATCAAAGTGAACAGGTAGAAAAACATTATTTGAATCAGTGTGGTTGACAATTTGAACCATTTTGATATGACATCAAAACAGCTTGATTTTTCAACACATTATCTATGGTTCACTGTAGCAGACATATCCAACAATGTTTAGTCTTTCATCATAATGAACCAAAACAGTCTACAGAAAATGAAACAGTTTAGCAAAAATTATTTTCAAATGTAAAAGGTCACAATGGTCTAACCTTGTATAATTCATTCCATATTCTCTTAGAAGTTCCAGCTTTAAACACAATTTCCAACTGTTCACTTTTCACACCATCCTCTTGGGGCACCAATGTACTCTGACTTTCTTCCCACTTCTGAAGGTCAGTTTCTGCATTTTTTACCATTTCCTGTATTCAAGTGGAACAATTTTGATATAACTATTTAACTTTGAAAAGATCAAGAATTCCCTTTTTTATAAAGGAATTAAGATTATCTAAACTTAACTTCTTGGTAAAAAAAAATAGGTTGCATTTTAAAAAACAAGGCTATAACCTACATCGAGATCATAAGTAGAAAGTGTAGGCTTCTTCCTAGTTGCTTTCTTACCAAACACCTGTTCAAAGGGTTCACGATCCAAAAGTCTTGGAGATGGTGCCTGAAAAGCAATTTTTAAAGAATGCAATGTAAAACTACCTTTGCAGATATTTCCAGAACATCAATTTATAAAACTCAACATAACTATCTTGAGTAGCAGTTGTAATTTTGGAAAGCAGTGTAAAAAAAAGGGAAATATTTTAAAATTATTACCGCTTTTGGAGTGTAACTCAGTAAAGTTACAGGGTTCTTGGTTGGGTTCATTACAACTTTATATGGGTCGGCTTTTATTTTATTAATCGCTTCATTGAAGGCCTGCAAGGCATTTTGTGTAACAACTCTTGTGTTCCCTAAACAAACAAGTAAAAAAAATGGTGAAAAAGAGTTACAGCACACACCAAACTAGAACTTCCGTAAAATAAAATGCCTCACCAAACCACTTTCTGTTAGGCTCTACCCTAGCCATGGTGCCAGATTTGAGGGTTGACTGAAAAGGCGCAGGTTGAACTATTCTACCCGAACGATCTCTGTGTACAAAGAAAAAAATGAAATATAGTGGTAGGCCCTACTGCTACAAAACACAATGAATAAATTTCTTAACAATGAAAATATTTTGAGGAGAACATCTAAAAAAGTCTTTGAACCTCTTTGGCTTGAAGTTTTTATACATCTTCAACCGATTGATAGTAGACCTGTCTCTCATCCCTGCTGATGTCTTGGGACGATCTGTTAAAAATAGTTTAAATTTAAAAAAAATATAAATAGGCCTATAAAAAATATAAAATAAAGTCAACAGATTTTCATTATGTTATGCGAATGATGAAATTTTTAGGCCTAAACTTGGCCTAATGATAATTACTAACTAGAATTTAATGAATTAATTCTAAAATCTAATGCCTCAGCAAAAAAAAAAGTGTTGACAACAGTTTTTAATTGGTAATCTATCGTTTTGGGTACGTAAAATCGCCCGCGATTTGTAATGTGAAAAACAGGTGACTCCTTAAATTTTAATAATTATTTCACATTTTGAGGAAGATTTATGTTTTAAAAAATTCAAAAATGTTTCCTTGATTCATTTATGTACTTGTTTTTAAACAATTGAATTAAAACTTTTCCGTAATAAATGAAGACTAGCGATGTTTCCAACAGATGCAACCATGCTCATTTACTATAGCAGCCATCTTGTCTAAGTTTTATATTTATAAGCTTTTAGCGCCAGATTCAGGGGGAAGCCACTCTATTTTACAAATGGCTGCTGTTTATATAGTATATACTATATAGCAAATCTTGCTCTCAGACACTGCTGTTTAAAGTTAATTTCTGGCCTGTATCGATATATTTAGCCATTGATTTAGGTTTATTATTCATTTATCTATAATATTTGACACACAAGTATGACAATATACTTCTATTAAAGCCTTGACAATGAGGTAACGTTTTCGTACATAAATAGCCGCGGGCGATTTTACGTACCCAAAACGATAGATTACCTTTTAATTAAATTACCAGGATTTAGACTGTGATTCGCCTTATTGAACGTTTCCCGTGGTTTACCCATTTTCACAAATAGCCTGTGAAAACAGAAGTTCAAGTAAAGATTTAGATCTAGATCTAGATCTAGAAAAACAGTATGCACTTGACTTATACACTTGAGTAGTAAGAAAAACTAAAACGAATGTAGCGTGTTCTAAACCGGAAACCGTGCTGTTTAACTTTTACTTGTGTTGGTCCTACTAGCTGCTGTAAACCAGCGCAAAATATTAAAGAAATAAAACCACTGAAAACATTTCTCAAATAATAAAAATAAATATGGTTATTTATATTCTAATTCTATCAAGTTTGTTTCAATTATTGGAATAACGTATCAACTAAACAAGAACAAATCGTTATAAAATAATGCTGTCGGCTTTATAGTTAGATCTATAGTTTATAGTGGTGTATGCTAGTTACGAATAAAGGTTTTTGCCTATTGACCTGTTGTCCACGTCGGCCTTTTGTCCTAAGCGGCTTTTATCCCATGCCGGTCTTTGCACTTATTGTAGTGATGCGTTGGGAGATGAGCAGGCGAATATTTGTCATACAACCATGAACGGATCTAGCCTTTAAGTTTGGAGATATAAAGACATAAAAGTAGGGGATAGAGAGGGTTAAGCATCCACATGTGATCCGATATCCGCAAATGGATGTAAGCATACACATATAGATTAAGAAAAATTAATAACAGAATACGTTATATAAAAAAATCATAACAAGCCCATATGTGCAAGAAACATTTTTTAAAGGCCTAAATTTCAGTCAACCCTCTGAAAAATATATGTTATTAATTAATAATTATGCATATTTATATAATTCCTGCACGTCTTCATGGGGGGGGGGGGGTTTGATGCGTATATATAGAGAGATTGAAACAATAAAGAAAGTATGGCGTCACACTTTTGAATTGGTAACAAGTTTTTTTTTTATAAAATGAGTTTTATTTGCTGTTTTGAACTTTTAAAGATTTGTTTGATCGCTTGTATTAAAAGATCAACGTAAATAATTCCAGTCCTTTTCGTGTGGGGTGGTTCATTTTTTATGCGTGACAATGCAAGGGTGTAAGCATTGAAAAAAAACGTGACGTTTTAAGCTTACTAAAAAGTTAAAAAAAAAAGATAGCAGCATAGTTTAAGAACTTAAAAATAAAAAGATCATGTAGCTCGATTTGTTTACTAGTTAACTTCTGGTGAAGTTGGTAAATAGTGTGAACAAACTGGTTTGCCTAGTTGTCATTTTACGTGCAAAACAAGTTGTATTTTAGCAACACATTTTTTATATTGACTTCTTTGTGAGTAGAGAATTATTTATAAAATAGATCTATTTTTTATAAAGCTCAAAAGTTGTTTGCTATACTCAAATTTAATTTAACTCACAATAGTGACATAAAAATAGAATCTCCTTAATTTTGTTAAGATGAAAATTATCTGGCAACAAATGGCCGATTAATTGCATCAGTCATCGGTTGTTATATCACATGTGGTAGCTGTTTTTATTTATTTACATATTGGTAAATAATATACCATTCGCATTTTGCAACTCTAAACATTTAGAACAAACCAATAACTTAAGACATTGATGAAACCACTGTATCAAGTGGTATTACCTTAGAATAGTCCCTTTTGATTTTAGCTGCTGGACCAGAAGCCGGCTGCTCTGTTTGCCAAACTAATCCTTCTTTCTTATCAATCTTATTCTTATGACTCAAGTCCAAGTTCAAGCAACATCTCATCTAGAATATCTAGATTCTAGATCTACCCACAGACTGTTCTATCTACTCAACTCTAGTTAACTCATACGGGTCATCCAGATGATTATTAATATTATAGATACCGGTGTCCGATGATGGAATCTTCTTTAGAAAAGGGGTGTTGGGTTTTTAGTTAAGTTAGTAGTAGTATTGTAATTTAATGAAATCTCGACTAATTTAATTTTTATGGTTAGAAATTAGGGTAAGGGGTAGGGTAGGACCAGGGTTATCATTGCCATTAGCCAGCCACGTGTGTATTTAGTTACTACCAGTAACCTAACAGTAACACCCCTTTTTTAAAGAAGATTCCATTATCGTTTGCCGATATAAATATCCTCCTGTCATCCATTCATAACGTCCACAAAAATTTCGAAAATTGGGGTTAATGTGTTACAACTAGTTGCTAGAAAAACTTACCACACTAGGATTAGTCATTAGCCCTTGATCAGGAAATTTGTGTAACACAGATCACTTTCTGGACAATTGTGTTGGTGCACATCATATATTAGGTTCAATTAGGAGAGTAGAACAAATCATCAATTTCACTAAATAGTAGGCAAGGTTCTCTCTTCTAATCTGTTTGGTACTAGATTTAGAATCTAGTCTTGTAGATTGAGAATATTGTAGACCTATTCAAATTGGTGCTGAAATCTCTGCAGTAACCAGGTATGACAAAGTAATAGGGTATTATTTGAATGAAAGCAAATACTAACAACATTTATGTTTTTTCTCCAGTAAAAATGGTCCTTACTTGTCGTTTCTACAAGAACAAGTTTCCAGAGGTGGAAGATGTGGTTATGGTGAATGTTCGCTCTATAGCAGAAATGGGTGCTTATGTTAGGCTCTTAGAGTACAATGACATAGAAGGTATGATCCTTCTCAGTGAATTGTCCAGAAGGCGTATTCGTTCAATCAACAAACTCATTCGTGTTGGGCGAAGTGAATGTGTTGTAGTTATAAGGGTTGACAAAGACAAAGGTAAATATTGTTGCTTTAGGCTTAGGACTAGTTGTCTTAAACTTGACTATTCAAAAAAATGTTTACATATTTTGCATGATAATCACTTTGGCTTGAATATAGCTGGTTACTTTAAAAAGGTGTGTTTTTCAGGTTACATAGATCTGTCAAAACGTAGAGTGTCTCCAGAGGAAGTCATTAAATGTGAAGAGAAATTTGCCAAAGCCAAAGCTGTAAGCATTTCAGTAACTATTTAGTTTGAGCATTTAAGAATATTTTCTCACAAGTGTTATAGTTAAGTGTAATGTTATTTCCTTTACAGCATAACTAGTAAAAATGTTACTATACAAACACCATTTTTCAGGTTAACAGCATATTAAGGCACGTGGCAGAGCTAATGGGCTTCAAAAGTAATGAAAAGTTAGAGGAACTGTATGAAAAAACTGCTTGGTTCTTTGATACTAAATACAATAAAGCTGGATCTTCATATGAGGCATTTAAACATGCTGTACAGTAAGTATTTTGCTTGATTGTGTTTAAGTTATGCTTGCTACTTATTTTCTATGCTTATTCCTATCTGATTTGGTTGTTTAACCTATAAAATAAACCATGTCAAACTATTTTTATCCCCAGAAATCCGAATGTCTTAGATGAATGTGACATTGATGAAGCCACAAAGAAATGTTTACATGACAATATTTGCCGGAGACTAACACCTCAGTCTGTTAAAATTAGGGCTGGTTGGTAATATTTTCCCCTTGTAACTAAAAAATTATGCTTTTCCTACCTGAAAATGTGGGTGAAACGCAATAATAAAATACTAATAATGTGTCTTCTGTTAATGTTTCCAAAGAAACTATACATAGATTTTTGTTGTTGCAGATATTGATGTTGCATGCACATACTATGAGGGTGTAGATGCAGTGAAGAGAGCTTTGAAGAAAGGTTTAGAAATGTCCACAGAAGCTATGCCTATTAAGGTAATTGATAAAACTAAAACATTTTAACTTTATTTTCTATTTTAGTGCTTGTAGAAATTCTCTCCCCCCCCCCTCTCCAAAACATAACCAAGGTAGACAACTTACCTAATTTTGGCAGAAATTTAAAAATAACTTGCACTTAATTATCCTTTAAACGTAGAAATCATATTTGTTAAAAATAGAATTAAATCCACCTAAGATGAAATTTATTTTGATATAATTTTACAGCAGTATATATCACTAAATATGACAGCATTTCTGTTTTCTGCTCAGATTGTGTTTAGGAGGCCTTCTCCATTACTTAAATCTGAGAACTTTAAAACAGTCTGAGTCAGATACTAACTTTAAGTAGTATAAGTATCTCAATTCAGGATTGCTTTTAAGACCAATGATTTATTGATTAAACTAATAGTTTAAAAAAAACCCCATTACAGATCAACTTGATTGCTCCACCCCTGTATGTAGTAACAACCAACACACTGGAGAGGACAGAAGGGCTGGAGAGGTTAAATAAGGCTCTTGATGCTATCAAAGAGGAGATCCTGGCAGCTAAAGGAGTCTTTAATATTCAGCAAGAGGTAAGCACATTTGGTTTTAGCTTTTGTCTTCATTAGTGCTTACAAGTTTATATTTTTGTTAGGTTATATAAAATACTTTTTATGTAATTAACTTTTAGGAATAACACTTGCATGGGCATTGGGCTAGCCACGCAATTTCTTCATATATTGCCCACAATTACACATTGAAAAAGCATTTGCTGTGAAATTTGTAGCCATGTTTTCGTTCACCTTGCACTTTCTATTTTTTCCATTAAAAAGCTATGTAACTCTCAACTTACTTCTGTTTTAGGCAAGAGTTGTCTCTGATATGGATGAAATTGAATTGGAGAAACAGTTACAGAAACTTGAAGAGGCTAATGAAGAAAAAGCTGGTGATGATGACTCTGAAGAAGAGGATGGTGATGATGATGAAAAAAAAGGAGATAATGAAGATGACGATGTGGCTATTGATGGGGATGAGGATTAAATGAACAGTATGAAATTGAAGATTGCTCTGTGAATATTTGGTGAGGAAAGTCTTATTGTAAGAGTTCAGTTTGTTGAGTTCTATTTGACACCATTGCTACCTGATATTCTATTTGTAGGGCCAATCTAGTCCAGTTAGTAAAAGAACATGGAAACCTTGAATCCTTGTGATCTTTTTTTTTTTTTTTGACAAAAAATGTATGAAGAAAAGCAGAATAAGTATTATACATCTTTTATTGAGCTATACAAATATAATATAAATGCAAATACTACAAATACTTCATCGAACTATCAGAAATTGATAGTTATCAGGCTCCATATATTGGTACATATGGATGTATAGTTAATAGATTTTAAAAGCAGAATTTTTTCTTGCATCTCTACAGTTCCTTGTATTTGAAATGAATACTTTCATAAAGTATACTTTGGTGATTAAACTTAAAATAAAAATTGACTTGAACTCTCACATTTTTTTTATGCTTGAGGTCATTTGTCAAATTGAATGTGATCTAGGTTTTATATTTTAATTCATTTTAAAAGACGGATTAGTAGCAGAGAGCTCAACTGGACTGGTTCAACATTTAATGATATGGTATCAGCTGAATCCATAACCCTAATTGCATTTTGATTTTATTTTTCAAGGATGGGAGTTGAATTTTACTCATATAATGAACATAAAGTACAGCAAAGATGTTTGATTATAAATATTTGTGTACTGTCATTTTTGTAAATAAATTCTGGTCCAATCACTTGTTTTCTTTTGATTACTCACTGGGATGTGAATGCTGACTGCTCAAGCTAATTAAACAAAAACTGTTTGGGTTCTTGAGAAGTATTGATGTCAATGTTGAGTGATGTTTTGTGTTGGCTGATAACACATTGTATTGAAGCTGACCTGCTGCAAGTTGAAAGAAATCTGATACAGTCTAATGTCTAGTATCATGATCAGTAGATTATCTTAACTAAAACCCTCTTATACCAAATTTTTTTGGGAAAATCCTTAATATTTATAAATTGAATATATGCAATGCAATAATTATTCTAGTGTGGGGTGAAGAAGTTGATTAACATGACATATTCACCTTGCAGCTGAATGTAATTTCACAAAGATATGAGCATCAGCTAAATGATAGTTACAAGATTTGGGAAGCTAACGATTGCAGGGCTCTAAGTAAGGAAATTGGGAACATTCAATTAAATTTGACATTAGAATGATTGTGAGCTTGAATTCTCACAATGTTGAGTTGTGACACCGTATATTTTAGTTTTAAGCTGACTCTCTTCTCTCTGTGTAGAGTAGTTTACACACATTTTTTGAATGATGACTCCACCCATCTGTCAAGGTTTGTAACTCACTGCACCTTTTAGAATGTCAACACTTAACTTTGTAGTGCGTAGTGTTTCATCAGCAAAGATGGACCAACAAGATTCAAGCATTAAAGAAAGCTAATTAGAATATAGTCAAATATCTGATAAATGAAAGCCATTTACAATTGTTTATGCTGAATCTATTTCCAAAATAAGTTCAGTTGTTATCTAAAGGTGCTCTAAAAACTGTCTGCCTGTCTCATGTGGTGTTCCCATACAGGGCATTGTTTTATACAGTTCCTTAAGTATCCCTTGATACTACTTGTCTACGATTCAGAGGCGTAGCGGGGGGGGGGGGGGACATATGTCCCCGGGCGCCCACCTTAGGGGCGCCAAAATGGGTTGGAAAAATAAATTGAAAACTTGAGGGGGGGGGGTGCAAATCGAAAGTTTGGGGGGGGGGGTGCAAATCGAAAGTTTGTCCCCGGGCGCCGGGAAGGGTCGCTACGCCTATGCTACGATTACTAACTTGAAGAATCCGACAATCCATTGAAATATCATTTTATAGAATACTATTTTATATACAATCCCTTTTATTATCTTGCATAGTAAGTATTCACTGATTTAGAATACAATCCCTTAAACCTAACTATAACGTTTGTTTTTTAGCATTCAGTCCCTAATTAGCATTATTAGTATAAAATCCATTTAAATATTCCCTAGCACTATTTAGAAATCTAGTATGCCATCCATTAAAATAAAGTACATTTGTGCTACCTGCCACATTCTAGTTGACAAATGAAATATTTCTTTCCACGACAGAGGAAATTCCCAGAAATAAATCAATGTCCCTTGTCAATTAAAAACTGCGCAAAGATATGGGCCGGATCACACAGCAGTTAAATGTTTACAATACATTCAGGAGAAGTCATGAACATGATACACACTACAGCGACAAGTTCCATTGGCATAATTATCTGCTTCAGTGATTCACGACAACGTGTTGAATGATTGCATAAAAACTGCTAGGATTTACTGTCATTGAACGACGATCTAACTTCTATTAATATATAGGCGCAGACAGACATGTAGGCGACCATGGCAGATACTATGTTGCTTTTTTAAATCCTAGATCAATATAGAAATAATGATAAGCTTTAAAATGCAGTGAGAATAAGAAAATATAACAAACTAGCCAGTGGCGTAGCGAGGTCGGGTGTCACCCGGTGCGGCACTTAATGGTGTCACCCCCCCCCCTGAGGCGCGACCCTTCCCGGGGACAAACTTTCAAATTTTCGATTTGCACCCCCCCTCAAACTTTCGATTTGCACCCCCCCCCCCCTCAAGTTTTCGATTTGCACCCCCCTCAAGTTTTTCTCTCTATATTTTGCTATTTTTTGCCTTGGTGTCACCCCCCTAAATGGTGTCACCCGGTGCGGTCCGCACCCCCCCCCCCCCTCGCTACGCCACTGAAACTAGCTATCTTTAGTAAAAGTTTGGTCGCTGAACTGTGTGGAAGAGGTGTCGTGAGCAGACACGTACTGTGAGCTTGTAAAAAGGGACTCCTCTAGACCACTCTAGAGGACATCACCTCATGATCTAGACCCCTGCTAATTTATTTTCAATGTAAATAAGTAGTATACGTGGTTAGACCTGTATTATTAGGCTATGACTGTCCACCTTCGATAAATTCAAGCTGTTTGTTGAGCGTCTACGTGTGCCAGCTATAGGATTTGTATAGTCTCCTTCTGTTGGATACGTTGCTACTATTTTTAGAATTTCTCGGTTTGATTTCCGGCCTGTCCGCCTGGCCAGCCATGGCGGACTTCAACTTGTCGCTTAGCATCGTGTTTTCCTTGACAACAGTACCATCCTCCATGACCTTTGGCACGACGCCGTAGCGCTGGTACAGCTCGTAGCGCCTACGTTCCCAGTGCGTCATCTCGTGCATGGTGTAGTTCAGAATGTCCCAGTTGAGTTTTGGACGAGACAGACGTCTTTGAAACGCCATGTCTCGCACATGCGCTCGTAGGATTCTCCAGCCTCTCTGAGCATTTTCCACCACCCGCGAGTTTGTTTTTGTTTCCCGTTTCGCAGGTTCTTTCCCTTGATTCAGAGCTCTTCGGTTCGTCTTGACTTTCCCCAGAAAGCGAAGCGTGTAAGGGTTGATGTTGGAGCCTCCTTCCTGCATGCCTCGTGCCTGCCGGTCACAGGGCGTGGCCTGGCGCTCCCGCTGTTTGCTTTGAAACAGTTCAGCCATGACGGCCTGGAACTCTGTACTACCGCCGATTTCACGTTGTTGTCGAGTTTTAACTCTGATGGGGTTGTAGTCACCGATCGCATTTAGCTGCGAGTGGAACTCCTCCCACGCTTTCGTGGGCGGTGGGTTGGTTGAGGGCGGGGAGTTGGCGGGAGTGAGTTGCTTTTCTGATTGTTTTAGAGATTTAGCACTGGAGGCTCTATCGATCTTCTTGGCTCCACTGGTAGCCAGATGCGGCTCTCGCTTCACATGGGGGCTTCTGTCAGCGGTCCTCAGTCTATCCATAGACCCGGACTGGGGGGGTTGTGGGGGTGTGTCTGCAGCGCCTACAATATGCGAGGACTTCCCAACAGCTCGGAAGTTGCCGGGTGACATTGTCCTCACATACAAATGTTTGGTGGTACCCCGAGTGTTGTACAGTACATGTAGGCGTTAGGTGTTGACTCAGGAGATTTATCTGGGGAAAGTTGAAGGAAATCTAAGATATATACAACTTGTAGATAAATACATCGGCGGATTTGGTCATATATATATATATATATATATATATATATATATATATATATATATATATATATATATATATATATATATATATATATATATATATATATATATATATATATATATATATATATATATATATATATATATATGAATTAAAGAGGCGTCTGCAAACGGCAACTTTATATGCAAGCAGACATAAATGATAAATGTAGGAGAAGCTGACAGAACATTGTGGAGACAGGCCGTGCGGACTGACATCCTTACTCATCGCTGAAGGAAAAAGGGCAGCGGTAGACTCGGAGAGGAGAAGAAAAACAGCTGCACACATTGTACCAATCACAATGATCTGCTATACTTCTGGCAGAGATTGCCTTTCTAAGATTGGTATGATCAGCCACGGCAGAATCTGCACCAAAAGGAAATATCTTCTTAAAATGTGGGCTAGCATCCACTCTTTCACGAGACAAAAGTGGACACACACACACACGCATCCACACGCATATACATATTTCGTAACGGTGTTAAAAATGTAATATCGTTTTATGACTTTCAAAAAAAAAAATAATAGACACGAGACAATAGTAACACGAGCACACAGTCACCACTAGCTAAAACATCATGCGTTAGCTTTCATTTTAAGGTTCGTTTGGACGGGGGGTGAGGGGGGGGGGGAGGTTGTAACACCCCTTTCTCATAACTGTCTACACCAGTGCTGACCTAAATATTTGAACCGATTGTTTCATGATGTAACATGGAAAGTGCAACCAGCGACATTGCGAGCAGTGGATAAAACAGCTGTCATTAGTGGGGGGTTGTAACACACCAAACACCTTCTGTCTATACTAATGATATATATATATATATATATATATATATATATATATATATATATATATATATATATATATATAATATTCTATGGTGTGGGTCTATGGGAGTGGGGTAGGGTAATTTATAATATTTATAACCCCCTCTGATACCTCTGCTTACGCTACTGTCTAGATATATACAACATGAACATTTATGCATCATGAAGATGATATATACCACGTGAAAATAAATACAACATGAAGATATACTTAACATGAATATATGCACAACATGGAGATATAGGCCTACGAAACATGAAGATATACATAACATAAAAGTATATACAACACGACGATCTATGCACAACATGAAGACCCTTACCAAGTGAAGATTATATACATATAAGATATATCCAACTTGAAGAGATACAACTTCAAAGTATAAACAACTTAATTAAACAGCCGCGTATTCCAAAAGACACTAATTAAAATAAATCAATTTGAGAAAAATAATGAACTCACTGGACCAAGCAACCAAAAGAACCCAGCACAAACTACAAAAGTTTCTCATCCATGTAAAGGGGGTTTGTCTTGTTTGCTATACACACGGCCTGTCTGCAGTCTGGGCGAACGTGTGTTTATATTTTACAACTCCCACCAACAACTTGACTGTATTGATTCGGAAATCGGATACAAACGCAAGTCGTGCGAATATCCCGTTCGATCGTGGCTATTTACACACTACAAGTCGTCGGTTAGATCTATTACCATTTCATATTACATTTACAACAGGGCGACGGGTGTAGCTTTAAAAAAAATTTCTACTTGAAGTGAATGGCTCCTAGTAATAAATCTTTGCAGACGACAGTTCAAGACGAGGCAGAAATCTATAGTCCCAGCATGGTTGAAGTAAACAATAGGGGTGGGGGGGGGGGGGGGGTAAACAACGGTGATCGGGTCAGGGAGAGGTCGGGGGAGCTGTGGGCGTATAGGTATTTGCCGCTGATCGGTGCCGTACCTAAGTGGAACAATGGGATGTTTAGTTCCCAAGCACGGGGACTAATCCTTACGTAATCCAAGCCACGATCGTAAGTTGCAGGTTAAGTATTGGTGGTTTTATGGGGCGAAGCAGTCGTTAAGAATTTGACGTAACGCATTCAAGTATGCTGATTATGTGTAAATATAGGCAGAGTATGAATTAAAATGTGAATAATGTGTGTGAAAGTGTGTGGAACATGTGTGAAAGTGTGTGAAAGTGTGTAGAACATGTGTGAATGTGTGAAGAACATGTGTGAATGTGTGAAGAACATGTGTAAAAGTGTGAAGAACATGTGTGAATGTGTGAAGAACATGTGTGAAAGTGTGTAGAATATGTGTGAAAGTGTGTGAAAGTGTAAAGAACATGTTTAAAAGTGTGAAGAATATGTGTGAAAGTGTGAAGAACATGTGTAAAAATGTGAAGAACATGTGTGAATGTGTGAAGAACATGTGTGAAAGTGTGTGGAACATGTGTGAAAGTGTGTGGAACATGTGTGAAAGTGTGTGGAACATGTGTGAAAGTGTGTGGAACATGTGTGAAAGTGTGAAGAACATGTGTGAAAGTGTGTGGAACATTTGTGAAAGTGTGAGGAACATGTGTAAAAATGTGAAGAACATGTGTGAATGTGTGAAGAACATGTGTGAAAGTGTGTGGAACATGTGTGAAAGTGTGAAGAACATGTGTGAAGAACATTTGTGAAAGTGTGAGGAACATGTGTGAAAGTGTGTGTGAAAATGCGTAGAACGTGTGTGAAAGTGTGTGTGAAAGTGTGAGGAACATGTGTGAAAGTGTGTGTGTGTGTGAAAGCGTGTAGAACATGTGTGAAAGTGTGTGTGAAAATGCGTAGAACGTGTGTGAAAGTGTGTGTGAAAGTGTGTGGAACATGTGTGAAAGTGTGTGTGAAAATGCGTAGAACGTGTGTGAAAGTGTGTGTGAAAGTGTGAGGAACATGTGTGAAAGTGTGTGTGTGTGTGTGAAAGCGTGTAGAACATGTGTGAAAGTGTGAGGAACATGTGTGAAAGTGTGAGGAACATGTGTGAAAGTGTGAGGAACATTTCTGAAATTGTGTGTGGCATTATGTAAAAGTGTGTAGAACACCTTAATAGTGTCAATGACAAATTACAAATGCACCACTTTCATGTAGCCACTTGGCACTAATGATCTCCTTTTGTGCTTAGGTCCCACGATACTTACTGAAAGATCCGCGAGAATTGCGCTACGAGTCACGAGAGATCAAACGAGAGTTCGATGATTGATCTTGAGACGTAACAGAATACAAGCAGGTTTCTCGCGAAGAGATTTGAAACGATTGAACATAATTTATTAACTACTCGATATGTTTGCTTTAAAGTGGGTGTCAGTACAGTATTACTATACTCCTCTAATGGGTTGGAGGCCGTCAAACTAGTTGGTATTCACGTTTAGTCTAGTCGGGGGCGGGGGGGGGGGGGAAGGGGGTGTGAGTGTTATTATTTAAACAATTTACATTAATATAGGTAAACTAGCCGTCCCGGCCAGGCCCTACACTGACCTCTGTGAAAAGCCTATCTGTAAAGAACTGCGACTTGTGTGTTTAGTGAGCAGTATACACCCGACATTGTCCGGGTTTAGAAAAAATATTACTTGTCCATTTAAATGTCTGTATGCAAGTACGGATGTTTGAGAAAATAACACATAACTCTAAACTTAACCCTAAACACAACCAACCACAACCATAACAAAATCCAAAACACAAACGCAAACATAAACACAAAACCAAATGTCTTCACAAACACAAAGACAAACGCAAACAATAGCGCAACATAAACGTAAACATAGAGGACATTTGGGACGGGTTCTAAACTTTTATTGTTAAAAAATAATTTGTAAACAATACAGTCAGTGTATAAAAAAAGTAGTATCTAAAATACCCGTGTTTTACATACCACATTGCACTATCAAACCATGTAAATTAGATTTTTTTTTGTTTTATTTTTTTGTCAATCCTATATCAAGGGAATTAATTGGTACAAAAGGACGTAATTAGTATACTTTTCTCAAACAAAATTGGAATTTTTCGTAACGGGTAATACATTTTGTTTAATTTTGTTCTTTGCACATAACGTAAATTAAAATCTTAAACTGAAAAATGAAATTTGATTTTTGAAAATGATCAATACTGAGTTTTTAAATAATCAATTTTTGATTTTTGTACACAAATCAACATTTGAAAAATATTACACTGGCGATCAGGTCGAGTTTTTCACTACATGCACGTGTTTCACAAACATTTTACATACATACAGAGACACAGATTACATTTGAGCTTTATATACTTGATTAACCACTCCAACTCATCATTGGTTTCTCCCCTCTTCATTATGTTAACTTCTGAATCGGACTACTTTGTACTGTAGTCTTTAAGGTTGGCAAAAGTGCTTATCAATACAATATCATCTGTTACATTTCTTTACCTCAGACCCGCCATTCCTTAAGTATACAATGAGCGCTAATACAAACCAGATAGTTCAATGCTGTGTAACATAAACTTTGACCTATGAAAATGCATATGAAAAATATATTTCCTTTTTTATTTCGTTGGTTTATTTTAAAGTTGACCCGATGGCAGAAGTCCCGGCATTTTCCCGTGTAATTTAACACGATTTCCGGTGGAGCAGACGATTGACTCTCACAGAAGGGAGAGGTGACATTTTGAAAGGTGACGCAAGCCATTATTGCGTGATTAATATGTAGCGGCTGGCATTTATTGCCTCATTAAAAAATAGCAAGCAGTTATCACTGTATTGAAAATATTGTCATACAATTTTGATCTATTTAAAAAGTCGTAGGTGGCGATTATTACAAGTTTAAAATATACTTGCATACAAATTTAAATAATTTGAATGTCCTGCCTACATTTTTTAATCAAAGGTATTTCCATGATGTAGCCCACCCAGACATTGGGCGTTGCCCACTAAGACCTTGGTTGTGGCCCATCAAAAACGATTATGGCCTATCAGGATCTTAGGTGTGGCCCATCAAGACCTTATGTGTGGCCATCAAGACATTGGGTGTGGCCCATCAAGACCTTGGGTGTGGCCCATCAAGACATTGGGTGTGGCCCATCAAGACCTTGTGTGTGGCCCATCAAGACCTTGGGTGTGGCCCATCAAGACCTTAGGTGTGGCCCATCAAGACCTTGGGTGTGGCCCATCAAGACCTTGGGTGTGGCCCATCAAGACCTTATGTGTGGCCCATCAAGACCTTGGGTGTGGCCCATCAAGACCTTAGGTGTGGCCCATCAAGACCTTATGTGTGGCCCATCAATACCTCATGTGTGGCCCATCAAGACCTTGGGTGTGGCCCATCAAGACCTTAGGTGTGGCCCATCAAGACCTTATGTGTGGCCCATCAATACCTCATGTGTGGCCCATCAAGACCTTGGGTGTGGCCCATCAAGACCTTAGGTGTGGCCCATCAAGACCTTATGTGTGGCCCATCAATACCTCATGTGTGGCCCATCAAGACCTTGGGTGTGGCCCATCAAGACCTTGGGTGTGGCCCATCAAGACCTTAGGTGTGGCCCATCAAGACCTTATGTGTGGCCCATCAATACCTCATGTGTGGCCCATCAATACCTCATGTGTGGCCCATCAAGACCTTATGTGTGGCCCATCAAGACCTTATGTGTGGCCCATCAAGACCTTGGGTGTGGCCCATCAAGACCTTAGGTGTGGCCCATCAAGACCTTAGGTGTGGCCCATCAAGACCTTATGTGTGGCCCATCAATACCTCATGTGTGGCCCATCAAGACCTTATGTGTGGCCCATCAAGACCTTGGGTGTGGCCCATCAAGACCTTGTGTGTGGCCCATCAAGACCTTGTGTGTGGCCCATCAATACATCATGTGTGGCCCATCAAGACCTTATGTGTGGCCCATCAAGACCTTGGGTATGGCCCATCAAGACCTTGTGTGTGGCCCGTCAAGACCTTGTGTGTGGCCCATCAAGACCTTGGGTGTGGCCCATCAAGACCTTAGGTGTGGCCCATCAAGACCTTGGGTGTGGCCCATCAATACCTCATGTGTGGCCCATCAAGACCTTAGGTGTGGCCCATCAAGACCTTGGGTGTGGCCCATCAATACCTCATGTGTGGCCCATCAAGACCTTGGGTGTGGCCCATCAAGACCTTATGTGTGGCCCATCAAGACCTTGGGTATGGCCCATCAAGACCTTGTGTGTGGCCCGTCAAGACCTTGTGTGTGGCCCATCAAGACCTTGGGTGTGGCCCATCAAGACCTTAGGTGTGGCCCATCAAGACCTTGGGTGTGGCCTATCAAGACCTTGGGTGTGGCCCATCAAGACCTTGTGTGTGGCCCATCAAGACCGTGGGTGTGGCCCATCAAGATCTTGTGTGGCCCATCAAGACGTTGGGTGTGGCCCATCAAGACCTTATGTGTGGCCCATCAAGACTTGGATGTGGCCCATCAATACCTCATGTGTGGCCCATCAAGACCTTATGTGTGGCCCATCAAGACCTTATGTGTGGCCCATCAAGACCTTATGTGTGGCCCATCAAGACTTGGATGTGGCCCATCAATACCTCATGTGTGGCCCATCAATACCTCATGTGTGGCCCATCAAGACCTTGTGTGTGGCCCATCAAGACCTTGGGTGTGGCCCATCAAGACCTTGTGTGTGGCCCATCAAGACCTAGGGTGTGGCCCATCAAGACCTTGTGTGTGGCCCATCAATACCTTGGGTGTGGCCCATCAAGACCTTGGGTGTGGCCCATCAAGACCTTGGGTGTGGCCCATCAAGACCTTGGGTGTGGCCCATCAAGACCTTGGGTGTGGCCCATCAAGACCTTGTGTGTGGAGCATTAAGACCTTGGGTGTGGCCCATCAAGACATTGGGTGTGGCCCATCAAGATCTTGGATGTGGCCCATCAAGACCTTTAGTGTGGCTCAATCAGAGCTTGGGTATGGCCCTTTGAGACTTTGAATGTGGGCAATTGAAAACTCGGATGTGACCCATCAAAACCTATATCCTATCAAAACATTATCATAATGTAAAATAGATTATCTAGATTTTAAAAAATTAACAAGTTTTCTATTATGTTGACTTTGTTTTTTGAAAGATGCATAGTTTCGGTAAATAACCCAGTTTTTCTAAAGAGATTAAATATGATTTATAGATGTGACAGTAGGACGCCGAAAGCTTATAAATAGTTTCTCTATTGATCCCTCTAGACTTGTAGGTTGTCGTTCTTATCTTGTGGCGGGCAGTGTTCTGACGTTCTTTATGTTTTATTATGTATTTTATTTACGTGACGGCGCTGTCTTTACCACAATCCAGTTCTGCTTTCTTGTGAATGTTATTGTTTGTTGTGTTGTTCTGCGGTATTTTTATATTGTTATATAGGCATTACACACACACATACACACACACTTACACACACACACACACACACACACACACATATATATATATATATATATATATATATATATATATATATATATATATATATATATATATATATATATAATTCTCCTCTTCGAGCCGTTAGAAAACAAGCTGCAAACGCTCTCCCTACCTCCCCACCCCTACATGGTTTTAGTGAGCTGTGTTCACTCTAAATGTTTACAAGCCGAGCCAACGATTTTAAACGTAGGGGGGGAGGGGGGGGGGGAAGGAAGGGGGGGGGGTTATGGTCCTTAACGAGCTACTTATAGTGTTTTAAAGAAATATTTTCAGTGTCAGCTTTGGTACTGTCGAATTCACAAATTATGAATTATTGAAAATTAGAAACAACTAAATAGCGGCGTATGTTATGCCGCGGGCCGGCTCGTATATATATAATTCTCTTCTGGGATCAGTTAGAAAACAAGCTGCAAGCGCCTCCTTGCAGTCCCCTCTCTTTCTCTCTATCACTATCACTACCACCCCCCACCCCACCCCAACATTGTCTGGTGATCGGTGTTCACTCTAAATTTTTACAAAGCTAAATGTTTATAAATCGTAGAGCCGTACAGCCGGGTTTCTATTAGGGGCAGATAATTTAGTTCGATTTTAAACTTACAGGAGGTAACTAAGAAATAACTAAGAGGAGGCTGCTTTCACGGGGGGGGGGGGGGGTGTAGTGTCGGGGTTAGGGGAAAGTGGGGGGGGGGGGGGGTTAGTGTTTTAAAGCAAATATTTTCAGTGGCAGCATTGGTACTGTCGAATTTACAAATTATGAATTACTGAAAAGTAGAAAATAAAACAACTAAATAGCGGCGTAAGATAAGCCGCGGGTCGGCTCGTATATATATATATTATGTGAAAATTATATTTCAAAGGGGCGCTACTCTTTCAAAATGTTACAACACATCACTGTTCTAGTTGTCTCCCCTGTATATTTTGAGACAACTTACTCCTTCTATTAGCTTTTATTGAGTTAACAATGTCTTTCTGTTTGTTGTTTGAAGCAAGTTTTGTAACTTAATTTCAACTCTCTTCTACTTCAACACTATTCGTCAACATTCGTCTCCGACGCTAGAGTATCTCAGTTTTATTTTAATGAAATTAGCCATTAAAAAAAATTAATATAAAGATGACTATATTCAACAACGAGAGTATTTAATAACGGTACGGGAGTCACAGAAGTGTATGAACTAATTCAGTGCCTTCCCCTTGTAAATTAAGGGCACATTTTAAAGCGTTGTTTCTCTACCTTGATGAAACAAGCCGTGTGTATGTTTTACAAGCTGTTGAGTGGAATATCTAAGGCTTATTTCAAGACTGAACTCTCAATACTCTCATTATTAATTACTGTCTGATAAATTAAAATCTATCTTATTTCAGGTGACTAAGCAGTTTTATGACGGCTACACTACAAAAAGTGTGTTGTAGAACTGTGTCAAAGTTCGTGTGGATGGGACGCCGACTTAATGTTGTGATTTAGATCTGATAGCTCTGATAAGGTGAAGAATACAACACGACCAGAACGGAGAATGTGTGACGAGCTCCATCTTGTAACAGAGCAGGAAATCCCACAGCTGCTAGCCTGGCTTGAGCAAGATTTACCTCGGTCTTTCCAGGTGAGTTAATGTCGTCAGTTATCTTCTGTTAAGAGAATATAGCAAGTAGTAAAAACTTTAGAATAGTAAACTTTCAAGTACACTAAATATACGACAAGAAAGTCTATATAGTTGAGTTTGCTATAAAAGTATAAGCAAAATGTGACCACAATCATAATGATAAACTGACATACAACGTGACCTTCAAAAAGCTTGTAAAATTATGCTAAAGAAAAGCAATAGTAAGTTAACTGGTTGTAAGGTAGATCAGTAGATTAGCGTCATACAATTTTCAGGATAGTAAGTGTCAGCAATAGATTTAAAAAAAGTAGTTTTTCTACTTGTTATAAACTTTATAAATAAATGACCCCGCCAAGTGCTGCCCCTGTATTGACTGTATCTACCCCATTAAGTCACGCCATGTATACACACCACCAATTGACGCCCCTGTATCCACCCCACCAAGTGACGCCCCTGTATCCACCCCACCATGTGACGCCCCTGTATACATACCACCAAGTGACGCCCATGTATACATACCACCAAGTGTCGCCCCTGTATCCACCCCACCAAGTGACGCCCCTGTATACATCCCACCAAGTGCCGCCCCTGTATTGACTGTATCTACCCCATTAAGTGACGCCCATGTATTGACTATATCCACCCTACCAAGTGATGCCCCTGTATCCACTCCATCAAGTGACGCCCCTGTATCCACCCCACCAAGTGACGCCCCTGTATACATCCCACCAAGTGACGCCCCTGTATACATCCCACCAAGTGACGCCCCTGTATACATCCCACCAAGTGACGCCCCTGTATACATCCCACCAAGTGACGCCCCTGTATCCACCCCACCAAGTGACGCCCCTGTATACATCCCACCAAGTGACGCCCCTGTATACATCCCACCAAGTTACGCCCCTGTATACATCCCACCAAGTGACGCCCCTGTATACATCCCACCAAGTGACGCCCCTGTATACATCCCACCAAGTGACGCCCCTGTATCCACCCCACCAAGTGACGCCCCTGTATCCACCCCACCAAGTGACGCCCTTGTATCCACTCCATCAAGTGACGCCCCTGTATCCACCCCACCAAGTGACGCCCCTGTATACATCCCACCAAGTGAAGCCCCTGTATACATCCCACCAAGTGACGCCCCTATATCCACCCCTTCAAGTAACGCCCCTGTATCCCGCCCACCAAATGACGCCCCTGTATTGACTGTATCCACCCCACCATGTGACGCCCCTGTATTAACTGTTGTATCCACCCCACCAAGTGACGCCCCTGTATTGACCTACCCATCTCCACCCCCAGCTGTACGGTGTTGTCAGGGAACATATCAGAACAAAATGGCCAGGTTTTCAGTTCTACACCATCGGGTGGCCAAACATACAAGCAGCGGCCACTGGCCATGTTGACGTCAACTGTGGGGTGAGTGGGACAAGTTTTAGCTTTAGACGTTTTAGCTTTAGAAGTTTTAGCTTTAGAAGTTTTAGTTTTAGAAGTTTTAGCTTTAGAAGTTTTAGTTTTAGAAGTTTTAGTTTTAGAAGTTTTAGTTTTAGAAGTTTTAGCTTTAGAAGTTTTAGTTTTAGAAGTTTTAGCTTTAGACGTTTTAGCTTTAGAAGTTTTAGCTTTAGAAGTTTTAGCTTTAGAAGTTTTAGCTTTAGAAGTTTTAGTTTTAGAAGTTTTAGCTTTAGACGTTTTAGGTTTAGAAGTTTTAGCTTTAGAAGTTTTAGCTTTAGAAGTTTTAGCTTTAGAAGTTTTAGCTTCAGATGTTTTAGCATTAGATGTTTTAGCTTTAAAAGTTTTAGCTGTAGAAGTTTTAGCTTTAGGAGTTTTAGCTTTAGAAGTTTTAGCTTTAGAAGTTTTATCTTTAGAAGTTTTAGCTTCAGAAGTTTTAGCTTTAGAAGTTTTAGCTGTAGAAGTTTTAGCTTTATGAGTTTTAGCTTTAGAAGTTTTAGCTTCAGAAGTTTTAGCTTTAGATGTTTTAGCTTTAAAAGTTTTAGCTTTAGAAGTTTTAGCTTTAGAAGTTTTAGCTTTAGAAGTTTTAGGTTTAGAAGTTTTAGCTTTACAAGTTTTAGCCTTAGAAAAATTAATTAGTCCATGAGCTAGGAGATAATGAGCAAAAGATGTTGATGTGAAGTTGATGCCGTCTTTTGTTTCAGTGTTTTGGATACTTCAACTCTGCAACAGAACATTACCTCTACGCCCGTGACGTCATTTCCGTGCAGGCTTTGTTGACATGGCCAGGGTTTATTGACTGGAACAAACCGGCAGATATTCGTGAGTGTCGACATTTTGTTGTAACTGATTCCTAAAGTGCTGACACGTTATGGCTACACCTCCTGACAGTATGTATGTAACAAGCTAATGTTATAAGTTGTATACGACATTATTGTTACATGTACCGTCGTAACAAGCTAATACGACACGTTAAATATGGCATTTCATTGTTACGTGTTCCAGTAGTAGGCTTTTTGTGTGTGCTTTGAATAAATTTATCACGGACGCCTTTAAGAAAAAAATAAAACAAGTTAATAAAAAGTCTAGTGACAATTTAAGCGCAATTTCCTTAATTAATTTTTTAGAATTCACAGACCTACGTAAAAATCCTTTCGAACCTCCGCTCATTCGCTATGGTAAAATCCTTTCAAACCTCAGCTTTGCGCTAAAAACCTACACTATGCTCAGTTTAAATGTTCTTAATTAATTTTTTGTGACCGAACGAAAGGATATTTTTGAAAACTTTCTTCGGCAATATTGGTTTAACTTATGGCAGGAATCGATTGGTAAATGTTTCAAGTCGCTAAGTGGTCTTACTTACAAATCCTACTTTTTGCAAAACGCAACATTCACAAACCTATAATTGCAACGCGCTACTTTCACAAACATACACTGTTTCATCATCTACAAACATGTTTTGTCAGTAATCACGTGTAGACTAAATTCAATATGTTGCAAATTTTAAAACTACATGTACATGTTAGTATCAGTCAGTGCCACATATCAATGTCTTCATCAACATGTTTTGTGTGGGGGAAAGGGATAGTGATCAGCACTATGCCAAGCCGCCTTTGTTTGTTCTACAGACTGAAGCTCGGGATCCGAACTCGAGACTTTCGGGCTAGCAGTCGTAAGCTCTGCCATTCGACCACACCGTCCCATTAGTGTCTTACAGTTTCACAGTTCATGTTGGTGTATCGTATTTTTACTTTCTTGTATATACGAAGTATAGAGAAAGTCTTGTAATCGTGCAAAAAAAAAAAATCGAGATTTTTGCAAATCTCGACGTTTTACATCTCACTGATACGGAAAAACATAATTTTGCAATCTTGTCCGTATGTCTGTGTGTGTGTGTGTGTGTGTGTGTGTGTGTGTGTCCGTGTGTAAACACGATAACTTGAGTACCGTTACAGCTAGGTTGATGAAATTTCATATACAAGTATTTTATCAAAATCGTAGATCCGTATCAACTTTTGAGCGATTTCGGATAACCGGAAGTGGTACTTTTTCTACTTTGAATTTTTCAAAAGCCTATAACTTGAGTACTATTTCAGATAGATAAATGAAATTTGATATGTAAGTAAAAGATCTAATTCTCTACCTTCTGTCAAATTTTGAGAATTTTTCGTTGACCGGAAGTACTTATTTACGCTACTTCCGATTTCTCAAAAAACTAATGTAAATTTTAAAAGTACTAATAATATTGCGCACTATTATGCGCTTTTTTATTCGCGTTCACTTGGTGTGCAATTAATTTGTCTACGAGATTTTATTCTATTTTTAAAACTTTAAGTATTTAAAATGGATTAAAAATCATGTCTATAGCCCGAGTTCCCATCCCCTGTTATTTTATATAAGAATATTCGAGAAAGTTTAGGGGAGATCACTCCCGGTTTATTAGCATCAAGTTTAAGATATCAAGTTTTGAACATAACCTGACCGTCCTAACAGAAGAAATGAACTAAATCAAAACCTGACATATCTAAGACGGCCCTAACAAAAGAAATGAACTAAATCAAAACCTGACTTATCGAAGAAGGTCCTGACAAAATCAACGAACTAAAACAAACCCTGACTTTTATATTTCAGGATACCCAGATGACCTAACTAAAACAAACCCTGACTTTTATATTTCAGGATACCCAGATGACCTAACTAAAACAAAACCCTGACTTTTATATTTCAGGATACCCAGATGACCTAACTAAACCAAACCCTGACTTTTATTTTTTTAGGAGACCCAGATGACCTAACTAAAACAAACCCTGACTTTTATATTCCAGGATACCCAGATGACCTTACTAAAACAAACCCTGACTTTTATATTTCAGGATACCCAGATGACCTAACTAAAACAAAACCTGACTTTTATATTTCAGGATACCCAGATGACCTAACGTCAGGGATCCACGAGATGTTCAGGTCAAGATGTTCTCACGTGCCGTCAGAGCTGACCTTTTGTCTTATGGTGGCGCAGCCTGGTGACGTCATTGCCAGGTAAAATTGCCACCTTGTTTGGTGACATTGTACGAAATAATATGATTCGGATCTGGCACTTTTTATAAAAACTATCCAGTCCACCATTATCTATCCACCATTATCCAGTCCACCATTATCTATCCACCATTATCCAGTCCACCATTATCTATCCACCATTATCCAGTCCACCATTATCCAGTCCACCATTATCTATCCACCATTATCCAGTCCACCATTATCCAGTCCACCATTATCCATCCACCATTATCTATCCACCATTATCCAGTCCACCATTATCCAGTCCACCATTATCTATCCACCATTATCCAGTCCACCATTATCCAGTCCACCATTATCCAGTCCACCATTATCCAGTCCACCATTATCCATCCACCAATATCCATCCACCATTATCCAGTCCACCATAAGCTACAGATATCCGTTAACCAAAGGCGTCACAAGGTCGGGTGACAACCGGTGGGATTGCTAAAGGTGTCAGCTCACCCCCTTCCGACAAATTTGAATTTTCTGTATGGTGTCACCCCTCTCCCCTTCTATTTGAACTGGATAAAATTACGAGTTTTGATTTGGTGTCACCCTCTCCTGTACTATTTGAACTGGATAAAACTACGAGTTTTGATTTGGTGTCACTCCTCTTATCTGCTATTTGAACTGGATAAAAACTACGAGTTTTGATTTGGTGTCACCCCTCTCCTCTACTATTTGTACTATTTGAACTAGATAAAACTAAGAGTTTTGTTTTGGTGTCACCCCTCTCCTCTACTATTTGAACTAGATAAAACTACGAGTTTTGATTTGGTGTCACCCCTCTCCTCTACTATTTGAACTAGATAAAACTACGAGTTTTGATTTGGTGTCACCCCTCTCCTCTACTATTTGAACTAGATAAAACTAAGAATTTTGATTTGGTGTCACCCTGGGCGGCCTGCACATTGTGATGCTAATGCCGTTTAAACTAAGTAAAGAGGAACACCTTCAGCGTACGTTGGCTTTGATTTTTTAGTCTTTTCGGAAGAAAAATAAAATTATTAAAGAAATTTGTTTTAGACTGCTTTGGGGAACTTTTGAAATACCAAATTTTAAAAACAATCAAGTTGTTTTTTGTTATTTGTAAATTCATTATGTACAATTGTAAAATCCTTCGGTTTCACACGATGATTGAAATTATGTAAACGATGTCGATGTTCATAACATCATCATTTCCCGCTCGTGTCCATAACACATGGGGCAGACAAAGCAAATTTCGTCTACTTCAGAGACCTCGGCATATGAGTGGTTTTTGTGGTCAACACTATGCCAGCCGCCTTTGCTTCCCTAACCTAAGTTAGGCATCCACTGATTTAAAACAGAAAAATCAAAATCAATAAATAGAGTCACTGATTTAAAACAGAAAAACCAAAATCAATGAAAAGAGTCACTGATTTAAAACAGAAAAACCAAAATCAATACAAAGAGTAAATTGCCCATCAGCCCATTGAATGTATGTCTGCCAGTAGGCCATATGACTTGACATTTGTTTACAGTTCGTATATGGTTATCACTATATAAATAAAGTTAAAATTATAGCTAAATATTGAAAATAAACAGTTTATCTTATGTATAGAAACACGCAAATTATTTTTCTTTTACTAATACATCTAGTTATCATTTATTGCTCAGTGATGTCGACATTTTTCCTTCAGCACAATCCCAATACCAGACGACCTGATTATCTCCCCTCTGGAACCAAAACGAGACGCTGCCTGTATGAACTCGACCTGGAGATACACAACTGAGCACTCGGAGAAATATTTAGAACAACTTATTCTCCGCTTCCCTTCTTGTGGTGTCTTTGATAAGTACGTGGTGTCTTTGTTAGGTACGTCGTGTCTTTGATAGGTACGTCGTGTCTTTGATAGGTACGTCGTGTCTTTGATAGGTACGTCGTGTCTTTGATATGTGCTGTCTTTGATAGGTACGTGGTGTCTTTGATAAGTACGTGTTGTTTTGACCATATTGCACAAGTTTAGACGTTTTTATAGCCTTAAACAACTGGCGTGATTTTCTGAATTTTCTGATAATCTCTATACTATTTTCTTTTTTTTTATATATATAGGTTAATAGAGTAAAGTAATCGAACAACAAATCGAAATTGAGATTTTCATAAATGTCGACGTTTTTACTTCCATGAGTCGGAAAAAGTTTGTTTCGCAATAATTATTTTTGTCCGATTTTCAGTGTCTATCTGTCTGTATTTGAACTCGATAGCCTGTGTATCCTTCCAGTTATGTTAAAGAAACTTCATATAATAGTTTTATATTGAACTAGAATACCCGTCATCCGTTGGATAACTGTGGGTTTCGGGGGTCATCCATCAAAAAACATCACGTCTGTCACTCAGAGGCATAGCGACCCTTTCCGGCGCCCGGGGACAAAGTTTTCGATTTGAACCCCCCCCCCCCTCAAACTTTTGATGTGCACCCCCCCCCCCCCCACTCAAACTTTCGATTTGAACCCCCATCAACCTATCAATTTATTTTTCCAAACCATTTTGGCGCCCCAACATATATCCCCCCCCCTTCCCCCCTCCACCTCCCCACCCCCCGCCTCCCCTTCCCCCCCCCGCCTCCACTCCCCACCTCCCCTCCCCTACCGTCCCCCCCCCCCCCTCCTCGGTACGCTACTGCAGTGTCACTTATCGTCACAAAAAACAGACCCCACATTCAAATATATGTTTTTTATCTTTTAAAAACACCGAAAACACCGATTTCGGACTATCCCTTTATAAACTGACGTCACAGGTGACCTACTCAACTCTACTTCTCCTGCCCAGTGTCCTGCCAAGTCTCAGACAACATGTTTTTATCGTTTAAAAAACAATTCCAGCCGAGCATGTATCTGACCACACTATCCTTTCATATGCTTAGGACAAAGAAACAGATGAACTCTACTTCACCTGCCCTGTATCTTGCCAAGTTCAGATAGGCAACGTTATCATTCACATCTAAAAAAAAAATTGAAAAAAAAAATTCATTGACATATTGGTCTAGAACCCGTGCCTCCTGCATGAGAGCTGACTACGCTACCATTTTAGCTATTTACTCGTGACGTCACAAGTGAATTTTTATACTATACTATGTGTCTCCTTATGCAACTTGATTTACGCGTATAGATTCTAGATCTAGATCTAAAAATAAGTCTAGTAGTACTAACTTTCAAATTAAATTTTATCTTAAATAAGCCAAACAAAGATTTATATAAAATAATTAAGGCCTGAAATAGATTCTAGATGTAGAATTTACATTGAATCTAGTGACCTACATCTAGGCTAGATCTAGATCTAGATCTAGGCTAGATTCATAAATTTCCTTCGATAGCTGATCTTTAGATCTAGAGAAATTTATCGTAAAACTAAATGAAAAAGACAGTTGAAAATTGATATAAGTGTTGGAACGTAATAAATACAGCAAACGGACGTATTGTTTAAGTTATAGCCGGCAGAAAATTAGCTTTGTAACGCGTGAAACTTTTGAATGGGCCACAAAGTCTATGATGGGGTCCGCCATTTTTATTGTACCAAAAATGTAAACACATCAAGGGACGTCACTATCCCCACAAAGTTTATTCAAAGTATTAACATTTTTAAAAAAATACGGTTAATTTAACTATGAATAAATCAATAAATTAATTAACGTCTTTAAATAAATTTGTGATTAACAGTCTGTCTGCATTAAAAAATTATTCTCTACCTACATACTATTTTACAGCTCTCCAGATAGAGCCGAACATATCAGGATACTTGATCAGGCAAACAAACAAACAAACAAAAAAACAAATAAATATTCAAACATGTAAACAAACTTGACTTTTAGTAGTATACTAGAATACCCGTCATCCGTTGGATAACTGTGGGTTTCGGGGGTCATCCATCAAAAAACATCACGTCTGTCACTCAGAGGCATAGCGACCCTTCCCGGCGCCCGGGGACAAACTTTTCGATTTTAACCCCCCCCCCCCAAGATTTCGATTTTCAACCCCCCCCCCCTCAAACTTTTGATGTGCACCCCCCCCCCCCACTCAAACTTTCGATTTGAACCCCCCTCAACCTTTCAATTTATTTTTCCAAACCATTTTGGCGCCCCAACATATGTCCCCCCCCGCCCCCCCCTTCCCCCCTCCACCTCCCCCCGCCTCCCCTTCCCCTCCCCTCCCGCCCTCCCCCCCCCCCCTCCTCGCTACGCTACTGCAGTGTCACTTATCGTCATAAAAAACAGACCCGACATTCAAAAATATGTTTCTTATCTTTTAAAAACACCGAAAACACCGATTTCGGACTATCCCTTCATATACTGACGTCACATGTGACCTACTCAACTCTACTTCACCTGCCCAGTGTCCCGCCAAGTCTAAGACAACATGTTTTTATCGTTTAAAAAACGATTCCAGCCGAGCATGTCTCTGACCACACTATCCTTTCATATGCTTAGGACAAAGAAACAGATGAACTCTACTTCACCTGCCCTGTATCCTGCCAAGTTCAGATAGGCAACTTTATCATTCACATCTAAAAAAAAAAAAATTGAAAAAAAAAGATCATTGACATATTGGTCTAGAACCTGTGCCACCCACATGAGAGCGGACTACGCTATCAACTTAGCTATTTACTCGTGACGTCACAAATGAATTTTTATACTATACTTTTGAGTCTCCGCGCATAGATCTAGATCTAAGTCTAGTATTAGAATCTAGTAACTTTCAAATTAAATTTTATCTTAAATTAGCCAAACAAAGATTTATATAAAATAATTAAGGCCTGAAATAGATTCTAGATGTATTAAGGCCTGAAATAGATTCTAGATGTAGAATTTACATTGAGTCTAGTGACCTAGATCTAGGCTAGATCTGGATCTAGGCTAGATTCATAACTTTCCTTCGACAGCTGATCTTTAGATCTAGAGAAATTTATTGTAAAACTAAATGAAAAAAGACAGTTTAAAATTGATATAAGTGTTGGAACGTAATAAATACAGCAAACGGACGTATTGTTAAAGTTATGACCGACAGAAAATTAGATTTAGAACGCGTTAAACTTTTGAATGGGAACACAATTTTCTTCGATAGACGCCGCCATTTTATTGAACTAAAGAGTAAACAAAAAACTGTGACGTCACGGTCCCGCCGAGTCTAGTGGCTTTTCAAATCTTTTTTAAAAAATTGGGTTATTCTGCGTATGAATAAATCAATAAATTAATTAACGTCTTTAAATAAATTTGTGATTAACAGTCTGTCTTAAAACAAAAAATTTTCTCTACCTACATACTATTTTACAGCTTTCCACGATGAGTGCAACCATGCGAGATAGTCAATCAGGCAAACAAACAAACAAACAAAAAAACAAATAAATATTCAAACATGTAAACAAACTTGACTTTTAGTAGTATTAAGATAGATTTGAAGTTCTCTTTAAACGTTTGAGCGATATCCGGTAAATGGAAGTTGGACTAACTCTCCTCCCGGTTCCTCAAAACTTTGAGTACCCTTGAAGTTAGATTGACAATATTTCACATATAATTATAAATACAACATCGTAAGGGCAGATTTCTGTCGAATTTTTAACATTTCCCGTTAACCGGAAGTAGAGCTTTACTCCATTTCCCATGTGTATACGATACCCTGAGTACTGTTTCATTTAGGTCTACGAAATTTTAAATCTAGATATATGGTCTTACAGTTGGATCACCTACAATTTGTGAGGGACCTCCGATATCCGTGTGTGGTACTTTACTCTATATCTGGTTTCTTAAGTACCGACAATATGCGTACCGTTTAAGGTTGGTGGACGCAGTTCCCAACACTGGTTAAAAATTCTATAAGCTGATTCTCACAAATTAAAAATATTTATTACAAAATAGAAAAAAAAAAACAACCAAAAAACAAACCCCAATTTACTATCTTGATTTCCTGGGCGGAAACTTGCGAGTAAAATTTCGGCCATTCTACCGGGCGGATTTCTATCAAACTTTTCTCGTAGGTCAAGACTCAATGACAATGCATTGTGATATACAATATTCCAGCTTTACTTTTTTTTATTGGCGCGCGTTGTTGAGGAAGGTTGAGGATAGGAAGATAGGGTAAAGAGGAGAGGGCGTTTGTCAATGTGTCGAGTTCTCAGATGATCATGAACAACATCAGTGTCACACATCCTCACATGACAATGGACATAATTTGTACGCTAAAATATAATGAAGTAAGAAATGTGACGTCATTGAAACCTATTTTTATTCTTAAAATTTCTACCAGGTCTGGCCAATGTTTGGGTCACGTGGTCGGCACCGAAAGAGGAAGTGTAGGAATTCTTTACGTGGTTCCAGAAATGAGACGTCACGGCCTGGGTCAGATGCTGCTACGTGGGATATCTAAGGCTTACTTCGACCTTGACCTCCCGTGTTTCGGCTACTGTCTGTCTGACAACATCCAATCAATTCGGTTGTTTGAAAAAGTTGGATTTAAGAATATCTGCAAAACAAAATATATGCCGTACACTCCAACGTAATGTTACATGACAGTTTGGCTTTATGGGCTAGAGTTGTGTTGTACGTTCACACTGACATTGGGATTCTATGTGCATGTTTTTTTGATTTTGATACCATGTCTTTTAGGTAACTGGTGCAGAATGTCTGGTAACTGGTGCAGAATGTCAGGTAACTGGCGCAGAATGTCAGGTAACTGGTGAAGAATGTCTGGTAACTGGTGCAGAATGTCAGGTAACTGGTACAGAATGTAAGGTAACTGGTGCAGAATGTCTGGTGTAGAATGTCTGGTAACTGGAACAGAATTTCAGGTAACTGGTGCAGAATGTCTGGTGCAGAATGTCAGGTAACTGGTGCAGAATGTCAGGTAACTGGTGCAGAATGTCAGGTAACTGGTGCAGAATGTCAGGTAACTGGTGCAGAATGTCAGGTAACTGGTGCAGAATGTCAGGTAACTGGTGCAGAATGTCAGGTGCAGAATGTCAGGTAACTGGTGCAGAATGTCAGGTGCAGAATGTCAGGTAACTGGTGCAGAATGTCAGGTGCAGAATGTCAGGTAACTGGTGCAGAATGTCAGGTAACTTGTGCAGAATGTCAGGTAACTGGTGCAGAATGTCAGGTAACTGGTGCAGAATGTCTGGTGCAGAATGTCAGGTAACTGGTGCAGAATGTCAGGTAACTGGTGCAGAATGTCAGGTAACTGGTTCAGGATGTCAGGTAACTGGTGCAGAATGTCAGGTAACTGGTGCAGAATGTCAGGTAACTGGTGCAGAATGTCTGGTGTAGAATGTCTGGTAACTGGTACAGAATGTCAGGTAACTGGTGCAGAATGTGTGGTGCAGAATGTCTGGTGCAGAATGTCAGGGAACTGGTGCAGAATGTCAGGTAACTGGTGCAGAATGTCAGGTAACTGGTGCAGAATGTGTGGTGCAGAATGTCTGGTGCAGAATGTCAGGTAACTGGTGCAGAATGTCAGGTAACTGGTGCAGAATGTCAGGTAACTGGTTCAGGATGTCAGGTGACTGGTGCAGAATGTCAGGTAACTGGTGCAGAATGTCAGGTAACTGGTGCAGAATGTCTGGTGTAGAATGTCTGGTAACTGGTACAGAATGTCAGGTAACTGGTGCAGAATGTGTGGTGCAGAATGTCTGGTGTAGAATGTAAGGTAACTGGTGCAGAATGTCAGGTAACTGGTGCAGAATGTCAGGTAACTGGTGCAGAATGTCTGGTGTAGAATGCACCAGTTACCTGACATTCTACACCAGTTACCTGACATCCTGAACCAGTTACCTGATGTGCTGTACCTGATGACCTAATGTCCCTTTCTATTGTTGAATGTCTGACTGTTTTTCGGTTGTGTTAATGTATAGAGGCATGATTGAGAATGTGTTTAAGCGTATTGAACTGTGTGTGAACAAGTTCTATTTCAAGTTTCACACAAGTGTTGTTCATGTGTGTAATGGGTTTGTACGGGTCTGTCCCCACGACGATGTATGGATGAGAGAACACCACAACACCTTTAAGGCTCAGTGGGATTGGGATGGGAGAGGTGGGCGTTTAAATAGTGATCGTTGGGGTTCAGTGGGATTGGCATGTCGGGGCATAAGTGCAGACATAAGGTAGGTTTGCTCTACATACATATTTTTTTTAAATTTGATACAAGGCTGTTTTGTGCTTTATTTGTTCCCGCCGTTTCGAAATTTTTTTCTTTTTTTTTTTTTTTTTTTTTACAATTGCTGGTTTGTTTTAAAATGCTATTTAATAACGAACATTGTATTTATTTGATTTTGACGCTCCTGTAAGGAGAAAGAAATTTTTTTTCTTTTAAAAATAAGGTAAGTTTGACTCCGTTTATTTGAAACTACCTCCATTTTTGTTGTTTGCTGTTGTTTCTTGTAGATAATCTATTTTTGTTTGTTATTTTGTTTTGTTTTAATCGATTATTTTTAAAAAAGCTATTTTTGTTTCAAATACAGTGGTATCTCGAGATATTAATTTTAATTCTCTGATGTAAAATTGTTTTGTATATCTCCTGCCGTTTTATAAATTTGTTTCTTCTTTGAAGATGTTGTTAATGATAGACGAGATAAATGGTCCGTTTAGGGAGGAATACAACGGGCGCTAGGTTGATAATGTTGTCTTTTTCTTTAAACGGAAACCAAAACCAAAATCACCACCTCAACTTCATATTTAATCGGGAAAAAATATAATTGAAAACGTATTTTTATCCTGAATTGGCATTTTAATCTTGATCCGCACGTAGTTACTGCACATTTATACAAAATATAGTTGCAGTTATACCCCTAAAACTTGCACCTAATCTCAAACGTGACAAAAGTCCCATTCAGAGTTTCTTTCAGGCAACTCTTTGGTGAGAGGTGTTTTTTTAAAATAGGGCTAGCGATAAAATTATAGTAACATTTGTGTTATGATGCATGTTTGACTAGGGCAATGGGTGCGCATGATTGATGGTGCGGCCGTATATTGAACGAGTGAGTGTGTGACGCTGTACGCAAGAAAGTGACGTTTTAGTGTGAGTTCGTTGTTGCCAGGGAAGAAGATTGAAGTTAGTCTTGTCCGTGTTATGTTAGAGTTAGGATGTCTAGTTGTAGTATCGTTTATCCAAGCTGTCCGATGTCCATTTCTATTGTGCAATAAATAGAGTTAGTAACCGATGTCATTCTGTCAAATCCTTCGTGAGCGTTGATGTCGTCGTGTCTCAAGATATACTGTAGCATAGCTAAACATAATCAAATGGTAGTGATTAAGATAAAATGGTATTGGATCAAATAACCAAAGACACTCACTCAGCGTAACATCTACCCTCTCACTGCATAGCTGTGGTACACATATAGAACTCAGCAGTTATAACAATTTGTAAAAATTAAAGCCGTTTGGGAATCATCAATTACACTCATTTTTATATTGTTGAATCGAATGCAAACCGTTGAAAAGCCATTTAGAATTATTTTATAAATTCAAATATTTAAAAAAAAACTACCATCAACCCCTCCTGGAAGTCAACCGGATTGGTCAGGGTGAGTAAAAGTCAGAACAATTGTTTTCCATGATAAAAATACACAATAGTCATCTATGATGTTTAGCGTAGTATTGTATTTATATTAAATAATACAACATCCACAATCACCACAACACCCTATCTCTACTTAACCAAATAAAAAATAAAAATGTTTGCTAAATTACAATTATATTACTAGTAATTATTTCTTTGACAATTTCTATCTTTAATGAAACCAGAAGTTATTTGTAATTATAACACACGTTATAAAATAGTCAATTTTGGTTGACAAATATGTTATTTCTGGAAACACAAATTTGGAATAATTTGGAACCAGCTTTTCAAATCTAGTCGGAATTTAACCATTGTTAAAGACGATGTAAACAGGCCCTTTTTACGAGGGATAGCATACTTTGTTCAAATTTAATTTTATGCATGTCGTCCATAGTTTTCTTTTTTTAGAAAATAAAATTCAGATAAGTATAATACATTTTATATTGTTTATTTTTGTAAGATTTTTGTAGATTTGGATTTTATTGTGTAGATATATAGCATTTTTAAACCGGAAGGGAAGGGGAGAGGGTTACTGATGGGGGTGGTTGGTAATCTCCTACACCCATATTGACATAACTGTAACCACCCCAGCTTGGCAGTGACGTCAGACAACCAGTTTAAACAAAAATGGCCAGGATCATGTCTGCTGAAGGTTCCCACACTTGGACAAGATCAGACGAGCTCCATCGTGTAACAGAGCAGGAAATCCCACAGCTGCTAGCCTGGCTTGAGCAAGATTTACCTCAGTCTTTATCAGTGAGTAAAAATAAATACTCTCATCACGTGACATATGAATAGTATTGTTGATGTCTATGTATTGACTGTTGTATACACCTAATGAAGTGACGCCCTTGTATTGACTGTATCCACCCACCAAGCGACGTCACTGTATTGACTGTTGTATCCACCGCATCAAGAGACGCCCTTGAACCCCCCCATCAAGTGACGCCCCTGTATTGACTGTTCTATCGACCCCACCAAGTGACGCCCCTGTATCCACCCCACCAAGTGACGCCCCTGTATCCACCCCACCAAGTGACGCCCCTGTATCCACCCCACCAAGTGACGCCCCTGTATCCACCCCTTCAAGTAACGCCCCTGTATCCCGCCCACCAAATGACGCCCCTGTATTGACTGTATCCACCCCACCATGTGACGCCCCTGTATTAACTGTTGTATCCACCCCACCAAGTGACGCCCCTGTATTGACCTACCCATCTCCACCCCCAGCTGTACGGTGTTGTCAGAGAACATATCAGAACAAAATGGCCAGGTTTTCAGTTCTACACCATCGGGTGGCCAAACATACAAGCAGCGGCCACGGGCCATGTTGACGTCAACTGTGGGGTAAGTTTAAAAAATTGGTGAGTTAAAAAAATTGGACCTAAAAGAACACTAAGTAGCTCATTGTGTCTTAAATAATAAGGTCTCATTAGAGAAACTGAATGAATATATTGCAGAAATTTTGAAAATTTCTGATTGATATATTCTTAATTAATATAATACTTAATAAATAAATAGCTGAATGAATATATTGCTGAATGAATATATTTCTGAATGAATACATTGACGAATAAATATGTTTCTGATTGTATGTAGCCTATTTATGAATAAATATATTTACGAATGAATATATGACTTAATAAATATATTTCTGATTGAATATGTTACTGAATAAGTATGAATATAGTTCCGAATGAACGTAATGGTGAGTAACCGCCATCTGTTTCAGTGTGTTGAATACTTTCAATCCCCAACCGTGCATTATCTTTACGCTAGTGACGTCAGATCCGCCCAGTTTTTGTTTTCGTGGCCAGGACTTTTTGACTGGAACAAGCCGGCAATTATTGGTGAGTAAAATCACGTAGAGTAACGTGGTAAAGACTTTATTTTACATTCTGTGTCCCGCTTTGATAGTTGTATTTTGTTTTATACTTTAAACAAATTAGCGGATAGCAGGGTGTCATGGGCTGACAAAGTCCAGTATCGGCTTGTCTGACATGAGAGCCGAACGATTGCAAAAAATATGTGCAAGCAGAGTACTTCTGTTTTACATTTTACAGCTGCAAAAAACAAAACAAAAAAAAAACTGTTTTTTTCGGGTGGAGGGGGGGGGGGGGGTAAGGCTAGATAGAAGATATTAAAAAAAACATGTGCGTAAGCACCGACATGTTTTAATATGTTTGATACTTTCATTGTTAAGATTTCAAAGCAAAGATATGCTTTACGACAATCAGATTTATATCAAATATTTCTGTCAAAAAAAAAAAGATCATTGACAATAAACAGAATCTTACCTTTATAGAATACACAGACAAATTGACGCCAGGGATCCACGACCACTTCCGGTCCATATTGTCCTATGTGCCTTATGAGGAGACGTATCACACAATGATGGCACTGAGTGGTGACCTCACTAAAAGGTAGTTAGTAGAACAGTTCTGGTGATTCTGGACAAATGTTCTGTGTGGTGCAAGGCTTACTTACACAAATCCTGATGTGGCACCCGACTTCAGAATGAAAACCCAACGTCTGTTGTTAGTTTTTAACCTATTCAATCAGTTTCTTCAATGCATCTCTTAGGGGGAGGCTCCGCCCCCCCCCCCCCCCGCACCCCGAAGAAATCTAACGCCCCACCCCCCCGAACACATGGAAATTATTTAGAAAACATATTTTTACCAGTGTCCGCCCCCCCCCCCCCCCAGAAAATTTAGTCCGCCCCAACCAAAATATAAAGTGTTCCCTCCCCCCTCTGAGAAAAAAGTCATGAAAAAACTCTGTGTTCAATTTAACAGGTCAGCTTATTTGTATATTAATTTTATTACTGTTTTGTTTAACTCTGTAATGTATTAATGAATATCATTTAGGCTGATATGTTTTGCCATCAGCAGACGACAAATACCAGACGAACTGATTATCTCCCCTTTAGAACCAAAACGAGACGCTGCCTGTATGAACTCGACCTGGAGATACACAACTGAGCACTCGGAGAAATATTTCGAACAACTGATTCTCCGCTTTCCTTCTCGTGGGGTCTTTGATAGGTACGTCGTGTCTTTGTTAGGTACGTCGTGTTTTTCATAGGTACGTCATGTCTTTGATAGGCATGAGGTGTCTTTGATTGGTAAGTCTTTTATTTTTACAAGTATCTGGTGTCTCTGAAAATAACATATTTTTTTCTTAACCCCCCCCCCCCCCTTCCCCCCAGCGTTCATGTTCGAAGTCTATTTTCATATTTGAGTCGACAAAAATCAAAACAGACGACCACTTTTTGTTTACAATGCATGTGAAGGCTAGAAAAAAGTCAAACAAATACCTGACAGTTGATAAGTAACCTTAGTTTTATTTGTTATGATCTAGATCTACAAAACATTGGCGGGGGCAGAGGCGGATCAAAAAGGTGGCTGGTGAGGCTAGCCGGCACGCCGCCCCCCTACCCGAAAAAAAAAACAATTCGGAAGATCTAAAAACCGTAAGCCTACAAACAATAAACAAATCTTATGCATATTTTTTGTGATATATGTTGTTAATATTCTGTTATTAATTTTTCATGAAATGTAAGCCTATGTTACACACATACTGGCGGATTTTGGTAGAGACATAAAGACAAACACGCTGTTAGATCGGATTTAGAACAGTGACTCCCCTGAAGATACATCATGGAGTCCGATATTTATAAACGTCACTTCTATGATGTTTTGAGCCACTCGTAGCTTTTAGTGCCATAAAAAAAAAAAAAACTGAAATTTTATTTAATCTCGACCAGGTCTGGTCAGTGTCTGGGTCACGTGGTCGGTACAGAGTCAGGAACTGTTGGAGTTCTTTACGTGGTTCCAGAAATGAGACGCCGCGGCCTGGGTCAGATGCTGCTACGTGGGATATCTGAGGCTTACTTCGACCTTGACCTCCCGTGTTTCGGCTACTGTCACGTGGACAACGTCCAATCGTTGAAGCTGTTTGAGACGTTAGGGTTCAAAAACATCGGCACATCAAAATACACGTTTTACACACCATCGTGAAGACATGTTTTACACACCATTGTGAAGACAGACATGTTTTACACATCATCGTGAAGACATGTTTTACACACCATCGTGAATACATGTTTTACACACCATCATGAAGACATGTTTTACACACCATCGTGAATACATGTTTTTCACACCATCGTGAATACAAGTTTTACACACCATCGTGAATACATGTTTTACACACCATCGTGAAGACATGTTTTACACACCTTCGTGAAGACATGTTTTACACACCATCGTGAATACACGTTTTACACACCATCGTGAATACATGTTTTACACACCATCGTGAAGACATGTTTTACACACCATCGTGAATACATGTTTTACACACCATCGTGAATACACATTTTACACACCACCGTGAAGACATGTTTTACACTACATCGTGAATACATGTTTCACACATCATCTTAATGACAAATAGCGCAGTGTCGTCCCATTGTGTGTGTATTTTATGAGGTGGTCAGATGAAAAAAACATTCTAAAAAAACATTCCTAAAAAAAACTATTTTGTTTAAACACAAATGTGGTTGAACTGTTGTTTTAAATTCATTTCTCAAATGATCAAATAAACTTCATTGTTTGAAAAAAAAATCTTTTTAAATTCTATTTGCAAATATTATTAATTTTTTTATATTATATGCTGTAACTGTTTCATTTTTTTCTGGCTTTCTTACTACGCCAACTTGTGTAAATACATCACCAGATTATTTTTCTAGCTTTAGCTTACCGTTAGATGTAAAGCGGATGGTGGTGGTGGGGCGGATTGAACGGGTGACACCAATTAGGGGGGCGTTACGCCAGTATGAAATGGGAAAATATTTCACACTTTGATTTATCTGATCAGAATTCCATTCATTAGTAGGTATAGATAAATGGTATCGGACGATAATTGGAGGCGGTGGGTAGGGAATACTTCATTAATACACCAATAAAGTTTACCATTCACTGAGGGGGGGGGGGAGAAGAGGGGATGCCACCCTGGGCTACAGCTCCTGGTATTACCCGTTCCAGTGACGCCCAACATCAACATCTTCATCTGTTGGACACTCGACGATTAAAGTCGTTGTTGTAGTCGTGTAACACTTGACGATTAAAGTCGTTGTTGTAGTCGTGTAACACTCGACGATTAAAGTCGTTGTTGTAGTCGTGTAACACTTGACGATTAAAGTCGTTGTTGTAGTCGTGTAACACTCGACGATTAAAGTCGTTGTTGTAGTCGTGTAACACTCGACGATTAAAGTCGTTGTTGTAGTCGTGTAACACTTGACGATTAAAGTCGTTGTTGTAGTCGTGTAACACTTGATTAAAGTCGTTGTTGTAGTCGTGTAACACTCGACGATTAAAGTCGTTGTTGTAGTCGTGTAACACTTGACGATTAAAGTCGTTGTTGTAGTCGTGTACAAGTCGTTGTTGTAGTCGTGTAACACTTGACGATTAAAGTCGTTGTTGTAGTCGTGTAGCACTCGACGATTAAAGTCGTTGTTGTAGTCGTGTAACACTCGACGATTAAAGTCGTTGTTGTAGTCGTGTAGCACTCGACGATTAAAGTCGTTGTTGTAGTCGTGTAACACTTGACGATTAAAGTCGTTGTTGTAGTCGTGTAACACTCGACGATTAAAGTCGTTGTTGTAGTCGTGTAACACACATACGAATAAAGTCGTTGTTGTAGTCTTGTAACACTTAACGAATAAAGTCATCGTTGAAGTCGTGTAACACTCGACGAATAAAGTCATCGTTGAAGTCGTGTAACACTCGACGATTAAAGTCGTTATTGTAGTCGTGTAACACTCGACGATTAAAGTCGTTGTTGTAGCTTCAGATTAAAACTGTTTTGAAGTTTCCTAAACAAGTATTAGAGTGGTTGGTGTAAAGGTCAAAAGACTACATTGCCATTATATGTTTAAGGTTGTCTTTCATTATCAGGCATTTCTTGTAAGCTATATTTATTTTAGACATTTGTCTCCGATAGGAGGGTGAGAGGGGGGGGGGGTGGGTGGGCACTAAAATATCCTGGGGAGGGGGGGGGGAGCTGGCGATAGACCTGCCTAAAAGAAACTCGGCTGGTTGGCTCCAGTGCAACACACCTAATATGTCACGTAAGTAGGCCAGTGTATGTGACCTAGATCTGGTAGCTCTCATTAAATAAAGATTACATAACAGAACAGAGTTGACAGGGGTTTTAGTGCAGGTACATCCATCAGGAGAATGTGTGACGAGCTCCATCTTGTAACAGAGCAGGAAATCCCACAGCTGCTAGCCTGGCTTGAGCAAGAGTTACCTCAGTCTTACGCGGTGAGTTGATTACAGACTTGTTGCTAGAATGTGAAAATTCAATATGACCAGATGTAGGCTACTATAATAGTTGACTTCACACGTCTTTTATCACTAACTAGCAGCATATACCGTTTTCAATTAAAATGCCTTTAGAAAATATTCATAACACTAACCTTAACCACAATCACAAATCCAAAACCCAAACATAATTATAAACAGAAACTTCTCCCTATCCTTATCAGTATAACTATTCCTATACTTATCTCTATCCCTATCACTATAATTATTCTCATCCCTTTCCCCCTTTGCTGTCCCTTTCCATCATCCCTATTCGCTATCCTTATCCTTATGTCTATTGATATTGCTATTCCTATCCCTCTTTTAGACATCCGTTTCTCTATCTCTTTCCCAATCCTATTACATTTTCCCTATCACTATTTCTATCCTTACCTATTCCTGTAGCTATCCTTAGAACGCCCGGATTAAATTCAGTTAAAGATTACATTAACCTATCTTATCGATAATCTATCGCACTGTTTAAAACGAAATTATGAACCATAACGCTCACAGAATAGCATATATATATATATATATATATATATATATATATATATATATATATATATATATATATATATATATATATATATATATATATATATATATATATATATATATATATATACACATATATATTCATGTATATATATACATATATATATATGTATATATATATATATATATATATATATATATATATATATATATATATATATATATATATATATATATATATATATACGTATATATATATATACATATATATTCATGTATATATATATATATATATATATATATATATATATATATATATATATATATATATATATATATATATATATATATATATATATATATATATATATATATGAATTAAAGAGCCCACCCGATCATGTGACACCCCTGTATTGACTATCGTATCCACCCCCAGCTTTACGGTGTTGTCAGGGAAAACACCAGATTAAATTGGCCAGGATATCAGTTCTACACCATCGGATGGCCAAACATACAAGCAGCGGCCACTGGCAATACTGACCTCAACTGTGGGGTGAGTTCGAAAAATAGTTATGTGTTGTCCAAGATAGAATAATCCAAGAATGTAAAAAAGGGGTAATCACTCTATATAAAGAAGTTTTCTCTTTCAGTGTTATGACTACTTTAAAACAACAGCCCAACTTTTTCTGTACGCCCGTGACGCTAAATCAGCGCAGGTTTTGTTGACATCTCCAGGAATTGTTGACTGGAACAAACCGGCCATTTTTCGTGAGTATTGGCAGGATGTTGCCAGGTTAATTAAAGAAGTCAGTTTTTACACTTTTTCATTAATTCGATCAAACAATATGAGTAATATAAACTAATTCATTTATTGCAAGTCACTTTTATTGACAAATTTTACTGCTTAATCTGACTCGATCTAGATAGATTTAAAACAACCATGAAAAGACTTGAAAAGCTGTTTCCAAATGGTGCCAAATATTTGTTTCCGGAAAGAATATTTCTCAACCAAAATTGAATATTTTATAACATTTGAATAATAAGTACAAAATGACTTCAGGTTTTATTAGGGCTAGAAATAGTCAAACAAATAATTATAAGTAATATAATAGTAATTAAGGTAACACTTTCATTTTTAATTTCGATTAGTAAATTTAGAGTTTTGTGGTGATAAGGAATGTTATCTTATTAATATAAATGACTTACCGTTGACAACTAATGTGTATTTTATCATGAAAAATATTTGTTCTGTCTTTCGTAGTTTTATTCTCCCTGGCTATTTCAGTTGACTTCAAGGAGAGGTTGAGGGCGGTCTAAAAAATATTTGAATTGATAAAATAATTCTTAATAGCTTTTCAATGGCTTATCGTAAATACAAAAGTATGCAAATGAGTGTAATCGATGGTTTCCAAATGGCTTTAAGTTTTTAAAATGTAAATATAATTTTATTGGTTGCCATATTTTAAAAAAGAGTTTTGAAAAAAATAAGTATGATTACATTGTCTTATTTCCATGTCAGGATTCCCAGATACACTAACGGTAGGAATCCGTGAAATGTTCCAGTCAAGATTTTCATACGAGCCGCAAGAGTTGACGTTTTACACAATGATGGCACAAAGGGATGACGTCATTACAAGGTGCATGAATGAAATTAATCAAGTCTCTCTGTTTCAGGACGCTGTAAAGCATTTACATTGTTTAAAAAATATAATAAACAGCGTTTTTATAACATGCTTTTATATAATAATAGCACTAAAAAGAAGAAGAAAATGATTTTCGTTCAACATATAATAACAAACCACTATTAAAATAACTATAAAGAAAAGCGAGGGTCGCTTATTAAATTTATCACATTTTAGGAAATATATAAAATACATAACATAGCGACCGATGCTTATTTTCATAGTTTTTACTTTCTCGTATACAGAGTTTCTTCCAGGCATCTCTTCGGGGGGGGGGGGGGGGGGGGGCGAAGCACCCCCGAAAAATTTTTACCGCCCCCCCGAACGAAATGAAATTTAGATAATTTATATAGAAAATATATACTTTTAACAGTGTCCGCCCCCCCCCCCCCCCCCCGAAGAAAGTCTACCGCCCCCCCCCCAAAAATTTCAAGTGCCCCCCCGGAGAAAAAAGTCTGGAAGAAACACTGCTCGTATATACGTAGTATAGAGAAAGTATTGTAATCGTGCAAAAAAAAAATCGAGATTTTTAGAAATCTCGACGTTTTACACTTCACTGATACGGAAAAACATAATTTTGCAATCTTGTCCGTATGTCTGTGTGTGTGTCTGTGTGTCTGTGTGTCCGTGTGTAAACACGATAACATTAGTACCGTTACAGCTAGGTTGATGAAATTTCATATATAAGTATTATATCAAAATCGTAGATACGTATCAACTTTTGAGCGATTTCCGACAACCGGAAGTGGTACTTTTTCTACTTTGAATTTTTCAAAAGCCTGTAACTTGAGTACTATTTCAGATAGATACATGAAATTTCACATCTAAGTAAAAGATCTAATTCTCAACCTTTTGTTAAATTTTGAGTAATTTCCGTTGACCGGAAGTAGTAATTTACGCTACTTCCGATTTCTCAAAAAACTAATGTAAATTTTAAAAGTACTAATAATATTGCGCACTATTATGCGCTTTTTTATTTCGCGTTCACTTGGTGTGCAATTAATTTGTCTACGAGATTTTATTCTATTTTTAAAACTTTAAGTATTTAAAATGGATTAAAAATCATGTCTATAGCCCGAGTTCGCCATCCCCTGTTATTTTATATAAAAATATTCGAGAAAGTTTAGGGGAAATCACTCCCGGTTTATTTAAAAATATAGTGGTTCATTATTGTAAATTTAGGACGATCGTATAATTTTAATCTAAAAATCGTTCGCGCCAACGAAAGAACCAAATGTGTTGATAAATCGATAAAAAAGTATACATTAAACAAGTCAAATTTACAAAGCACGACAGAGGAAGACAGTTAAATAAAAACTTGCAAACACAGTGACGACCAACTTTCATCAACCGAGAAATGAATTTGATAAGCAGTGCACTTTGTGTGATAATCAGTTAGTGACTGTAAAATTTATGTTGGTTTTTAAGTGCAAAAGAGTTTTTTTTTGCCACCTGCAGCAGCAGCCAATTACCTGACGACCTGATTATCTCCCCTCTGGAACCAAAACGAGACGCTACCATTATGAACTCGACCTGGCCGTATAAAAGGAAGCACTCGGATAAATATATGGAACAACTTGTTCTCCGTTACCCTTCTTGTGGTGTCTTTGATAGGTATGTCGTGTCTTTGTTAGGTACGTGGTGTCTTTGATAGGTATGTGGTGTCTTTGATAGGTATGTCATATCTTTGATAGGTGGTGTCTTTGTCCTTGCAATTAACCCAAATTTTTTTTTTACAATATTTTTGACATAAAATACATGAAACCGTTAAATACCAGTCATCGATTTTAAAAACCAAACCGAAAAATATCTCTATACTACTAAATCTCAACTTTGTTTACATGTTTGAATATTTATTTGTTTGTCTGATTTGCTACTGGAGAGAATCTGCAACATGTTTAGATCTGTAAAATAGTATGTAGGTAGAGAACAATTTTTCTTTTCTAATCACAAATTCACTTAAAGATGTAAATTAATTTATTGATTTATTCATAGGTAGATTAACCACATTAATTTTAAAATTTTCCAATAATAGCTTTACTTTGAATTGTTTACTTTTTAGTACAATAAAATAGCGGCTTCCGTCATAGACGTTGTGGCCCATTCAAAAGTTTAACGCGTTCTAAAGCTAATTTTCTGTCGGCCATAACTTTAGAAATACGTCCGTTTGCTGTTTTTATTACGTTCCAACACTTATATAAATTTTCAACTGTCTTTTTCATTTAGTTTTACAATAAATTACTCAAGCTCTACAATCTGTCCAAGAATTTATCTATTTATTTATAGATCTAAATATCAGGTGGCCAAGAAAGTTATTTATAGATCTAGATCTAGAATCTAGGTCAAACCAAAGATTAATTAGATACAAACCAAAGATTAATTAGATAAAAATACACTCCATTTTATAATCATAATACATTTTTTAGTCCTTAAATACTTGATATAAATCTTTGTGATTTATCTATCTAGATCTATCTAGAATAGGCCTAATCAATTTAGATCTAGCAAGAGTTACGCAAAAACTAGACTTAAGACTTAAGCAAACGAGTCGTAGAATCTAGATCTAGATAATTCTATCTAGATCTAAATTTCAGACCTTCGTTATTTTATATAAATCTTTGTTTGTTTAGCTATGTAATTGGCTAATTTAAGATAAATTTTAATTTGAAAGTTACTACTACTAGACTTAGATCTAGATCTATGCGCGTAAATCAAGTTGCATAAGGAGACTCAAAGTATTAAACTATAGTATAAAAAAAAAGTGACGCCACGAGTCTAAATAGCTAAGTTGTTAGTGTAACCGGCTTTCATGTGGGTGGCACGGGTTCTAGACCAATACGTCAATGTTAAGATTTTTCCCATTTATTTTTTATTTTTTAGATGTGAATGATAAAGTTGCCTATCTGAACTTGGCGGGGGTACAGGGCAGGTGAAGTAGAATTCATCTGTTTCTTTGTCCTAAGCATATGAAGGGATAGTGTGGTCCGAGACATGCTCGGCTGGAATGGTTTTTTAAACGATAAAAACATGTTGTCTGAGATTTGGCGGGACACTGGGCAGGTGAAGTAGAATTGAGTAGGTAACCTGTGACATCAGTATATGAAGGGATAGTTCGAAATCGGTGTTTTTAAAAGATAAAAATCATCTTTTTGAATGTGGGGTCTGGTTTTTTGTGACGATAAGTGACAGACGTGATGTTTTTTTATGGATGACCCCCGAAACCCACAGTTATCCAAGGGATGACGGGTAGTCTAGTTTTTCTTTAAAATTAAAGTACTCTTCTCGAACCTGGGGGGTAGAGGTCTCCAGTTTTTCCCGTTTCTGTGACCTCGGATAGTGTGGTCAGCACTATGCTCAGCCGACGTTTTTTCCCCTAATGTCAGTTATAGCTGCGTGGACTCAGAGATGTTCTACTTACTTAAACCCGGATTCGAACTCGAGACTTTCGGGCAAGCATTCTAGCGCTCTACCGTTAGGTCACGCCGTACCCATTTATGTCTTTAGTATGGTGAAATCAAAGATATTTGATGCACTAAATTTTGTCTTGTTTTAACCAGGTCTGGCCAATGTCTAGGTCACGTGGTCGGCACAGACCAAGGAACCGTTGGAATTCTTTACGTGGTTCCAGAAATGAGACGTCACGGCCTGGGTCAGATACTGCTACGAGGGCTATCTAAGGCTTACTTCGACCTTGACCTCCCGTGTGTTGCCTACTGTCTGACGAACAACGTCCAATCAATTCAGTTATTTGAAAAAGTTGGATATAAGAAAATCGACACAATAAAAGTGATGTACCACACTCCAACATAACACTTCGCTGCAGTTTTCATGTTATGCGATGCATTTGCCATTCAGTTTTTAAATTGAGGTTTATTTATAGATTAAAAGTATGGCCAATTTTTTATGGGTCAGTTTCCCATATTAAAAATATTACGTGCCGAGCAAGGTGCAAGTTTCAAGTAATTCTTAAAGGTTCGCAATTTTTTTTTATACACGAGCTCAATAATGAAAAACCTGAGGTTGAAACATTTGTAAACGAATAAATCCACTCTGGATATCACAAGATGATTAAAGATATTTTGTTGTAATTAGACTATAAATACACATTGCTAAGTCCACCACCGGTGGGGGCGTGTTCTACGTTGTTGTGATTGGTCATACAAGGGGAGGAAATAAATATTTGAACATTTACATTTTTATCTGATAATTTCCTTTTGTGATTGTCTGTCTAAAAAACGTCTATCCTTTTGTGAATTGTTTTGGTTCTCTTATAAACACACGCCGGGTGTTGCTATTGTCTCTTTACAGGGTCGGGTTAGAGTGGTAATTAGACTTAAGGTTAATATATGGGCTGGGTTCAAGATTAGGGTCGGGATTAGCTACAAGATTTAGGTTATGATTAAGTCGAGAGTAGGCTTATGTTTCAGGTCGAGAGTAGGCTTATGGTTAAGGAAGAGAGTAGGCTTATGGTTAAGGTAGAGAGTAGGCTTATGGTTAAGGTAGAAAGTAGGCTTAAGTTTAAGGTAGAGATTAAGCTCCAGATTAGGGTCAGGAATATGTTCCAATTTGTGGTTAAAATACTGCTAGCATCACGGTTAAAATCTTGCTAGTATCATGGTTAAAATATTGTATGTGTCCTAGGGTTCAAATGTAGTGACATCTTAAACCAGGCTAAGCTAAGCTAGAGCATCAAAAGTTGGCACCTACATTTGATGAAAGATGCCTTGACTCTGCTACCATGTTACCCTCGTCCATTACAAGTAAAGACGGGGTGACTCTATGAATTCATTGAGTGTACTTGACACCACGGGTCAACTTCTGAGATGAACTGGTCGACTTTATGACCTCAATGATCAACATGAGACCTCATACGCCATCTTATGACAGGACAGGTCGAGTTGTGTGATATTGTTTGTTGCATGATGATATCATAAGCTTGTCTAGTGATCGTGTGACACTCGAAGGTTAAAGTCGTTGCTGAAGCCATGTAAGTGTCATACTCTCGAAGCTTCAGATTAAAAATGTTGTGTCCTAACCAGGTGTTATAGTGGTTGTTTTAAATAAGTAGGCCTGTGTTTGTGACCTAGATGTGAAAGCTCTCATTAAATAAAGATTACACAACGACCAGAACATAATTGACAGGAGTTTTAGTGCAGGTACATCCACCAGGAGAATGTGTGACGAGCTCCATCTTGTAACAGAGCAGGAAATCCCACAGCTGCTAGCCTGGCTTGAGCAAGATCTACCTCAGTCTTACGCGGTGAGTTGTTGACGGACTTGTTGCTAGAATGTAAAACTTCAAAATGACTTGATAGATGTAGGCTACTGTAGGCCATTGTAGTAGTTGACTTCACACGTCTTTTTAACTAGCAGCATATACCCGGCGTTGCACGGGTTTCTGGAAATAAATAGTTTTCAGTTAAAATGCAATCCTAATATATAAAAGACCATGTGCGCACTTCTCTCCCCCCCCTCTCTCTCTCTGTCTCTCTCTCTCTCTCTGTCCGCAAAATATTTTCGCAGGATATCACATCAGAATCTTCAGCGATATATGGAGAACTTGATACGGTCTTTTGTTAAAAATAATATGGTAGATGTTTTAAATGTATAAACAAAATTTTATTTAAAGAAGAAAAATAAAAAAATAAAAGCATATTCGAATGTAGAAAAACAGTTTTAATTATACAACAGGAAAATTGTTTATAGTTGTAAAAAAGAACGCATAAAACAATGACGTCACATGCCAATCTTCCGATTTGAGAATATAAAGAACTTTATCATGGACACGAGTGAGGGTCAGTGAGCTGCCAGTCTGGCAAGTTGGGGATACACTCTAGACTGGACATCAGGCATCCGGCCAGGGAACTTCCTCTTGATGCCACAGTGCAACCGGAGGCACAGCTTCGACGGCAGCAAGTACCTCATGTCGCCCTTATGTCCCCTTGTCATCATCTTTTAAAAGTTATGTCCCTTTCTGCTTTTCTTTTTTAAAGTTTCTTATTGAACCTTTTTTAATCTGCACGTTTTAGCTACTGAATAAAAAACAACAACATATACTTTGCTTATGTGGCCAGATAAGTTGTTTCAAGTTTTGCGCTAAGGGCGTTCGCAGTTCATTTCCTCTTGTGAAATGGAAATTAAAACGTCGAGTCATTATAAAAATGTTCAATTATTAAGAGAAATTTAAGTGAATGTTCTATTGATGTGAGTGATCTCATGATCCAACAGGACCGGTTGTTTGTGAAGACTAGCTTCAAACGCCTTCCCTTCCTCTATTCCCTATTATTTGCTAGAATTCTGCGGACGCCCACTTAAGAATGTTTTTTTTATTTTTTATTATTTTATAATATTTTTTTTAACTGGACCTATTATGTACACGTCATTTAAACATGACTAAATGTCTATGTGTCCTACAGCTTTATTGTGTAAATAAAAACTAAAGTAAACAGGCATGATATAAACTGGTATTGGGATATTTTAAAATGTACATGGTAAATAGGGTTAAGTCGTGTCGTAAGGGTTATAAAATATCTTAAAATTCGTTACGATATTTTGAAATATATCACCAACTTATAGTTATACAATGCGTGTACATTTTTGTGTTAGTTAAATTAATTTAAAAAAATCACATAGTATAACAGTGGAAAGGGTGTTGTTGTAACGAATGTTTATTGTATGAATAGTATTTAATTATATAATTGTATGATTATAAAATTGTAATGCCTCTTTTTTTTTAAATTTTCACTCAATGTTTATTTTATTTTCTTACTTTTGGTGATACTAATTTATAAATAAAAACGTATTTAAACCAAATATTTTACTATTAGCACTTTTAAAACGTAATAAGTACGTGTATATTATTTGTTAATCGAAATATTGTACTAATCTGATGATCAACAGTGTATTAAAGACATGTTGCTAAAAAAAAAAAGAAATGAACTATTTCATTCAAATTTGATTTAGATCAACGTACGCTATGATCAGTGTTTCTTCCAGACTTTTTTCTCCGGGGGGGGGGGGGGGGGGGGGCACTTGAAATCTTCGGGGGGGCGGTAAACTTTCTTCGGTGGGGCGGACACTGTTAAAAGTATATATTGAAGAGATGCCTGGAAGAAACTCTGATATGTATACAATACCATTTTCTCGGCCTAAACTTTTAAAATTTACTTTATCTATTTGGATTCTAGATCTAGTGATTTTAGATCTAGACTAGATCTACGGAAAAACTAGACGTAGATGCTAAGATCTAGATTTAAACTATCTACTATAGATTCTATTCCCATAATAAATTTCTATATTAAACTAATTCAGGCCTTAATTATTAGATAGAAATCTTTGTTTAGCTATGGAATTGGCTAACTTGGGATACAATTTACTTTGAAAGAATAGGGCTATTCGCGTAAGTTAAGCTTCTTAAATGGGTCTTTTATTGTTCATGATTCATAAGGTGCCTAAATAGATGAGATGAGAACATAAATTGATACCATGCGGGAGGTACGGGTTCGTACCCTACATCTAGAGGGCTGGACACATGTATAGAATTTGAATTAGAGTTAGGACTCTAACTTGAGAGGGGGGGGGGAGTAATTTCCCGGGGGGAGGGGGTAATTGACACGGGAGTAAATACGGGGGGAGGGGCTGGTGGAATATCCTGGGGATGTAATGTCCTGCAGCCATATATATATATATATATATATATATATATATATATATATATATATATATATATATATATATATATATATATATATATATTATCCTCCGGATCAAGTGACGCCGCTGTATTGACCTAGCTATATCCACCCCCAGCTTTACGGTGTTGTCAAAGAAAATACCAGATTAAACTGGCCAGGATATCAGTTCTACACCATCGGATGGCCAAACATACAAGCAGCGGCCACTGGCAATACTGACCTCAACTGTGGGGTGAGTTCGAAAAATAGTTATGTGTAGACCAAGGTAGGATAATCCAATATTGTAAAAAGGGGAAATCACTCTATATAAAGAAGTTTTCTCTTTCAGTGTTATGACTACTTTAAAACAACAGCCCAACTTTTTCTGTACGCCCGTGACGCTAAATCAGCGCAGGTTTTGTTGACATCTCCAGGAATTGTTGACTGGAACAAACCGGCCATTTTTCGTGAGTATTGGCAGCTTGTTGTCAGATTAATTAAAGAAGTCAGTTTTTACACTTTTTTTTTATAAATTTCATCAAACTATATGAGTAATATAAACTAATTCATTTATTGCAAGTCAGTTTTATAGAAAATTTTTAATGCTTAATCTGACTTGATCTAGATACATTTAAAACAATCGTGAATTGGCTCGAGAAGCTGGTTCCAAACGGTTCCGAATTTTGGTTGCTATAATGCATATTTTTCATCCAAAATTGAATATTTTATAACATTTGTGTAACAAGTACAACATGACTGCCGGTTTTACTAAGTCTAGAAATAGTCAAACAAATAGTTACAAGTTATGTATTAGTAATTTAGCTAACCATTTTTAAAAAATTTCGATTAGTAGAGTTAGTGTTTTGTGGTGATAAAGGATGTTATATTATTTAATACTGAGTATTTTATCGTGGTAAACATTTGTTCTGCCTTTCGTTGTTTTACTCTCCCTGGTATTCCGGTTTGAGGGCGGTTTTTAAAAATATTTCAATTGATAAAATAATTCAACGTTTTATATTCAATACAAAATTAAGAAAAATGAGTCTAATCGATGGTTCATAAAAGGCTTTAATTTGTAAATTGTAAATATAATTTCATCGCTTGCCATAATTTTGAAAAGATTTTTTTTCGAAAAATTTAGTATGATTACATAGTCTTTTTTTTTCATGTCAGGATTCCCAGATACACTAACGTTAGGAATCCGTGAAATGTTCCAGTCAAGATTTTCATGTGAGCCACAAGAGTTGACGTTGTACACAATGATGGCACAAAGGGATGACGTCATTACAAGGTGCAATATGAAATCAATCATGTTTCTGTTTCAGGACGCTGTATGTCTTTTACATTGTTTAAATATATATATATATATATATATATATATATATATATATATATATATATATATATATATATATATATATATATACACACACACACACACACACACATATATATATATATATATATATATATATATATATATATATATATATATATATATATATATATATATATATATATCTATAATAATAGTTTCGCTGTCTCTCTATCTATCTATCTATCTGTCTGACAAGAACGCTCTAGAGAAAAGACAAGCAATTTAAAAACATGCACAGTAATTCGAAAAACGAAGTATGTGGGTGGTGTGGAGGGGTGGGGGGGGGTGTGTGTGGGGGGGGGGTGTGGGGGTGGTGTGTGGGGGGTGGGGGTGGTGTGTGGGGGGTGGGTTGGTTTCAGTGTTTCTTTCAGACTTTTTCCTCCCCGGAGAGGGGTGGGGGTACTTGAAATTTTCGGGGGCGGGGGTAGAATTTTCTGGGAGGGGGCGGACACTGGAAAAAGTATATAATTATATTTCGTTGAATGGGACGGTAGACATGGTTTTTTTTTTGGGGGGGGGGGGCGGTGGAGGGGGGGTTGGAGGGGTGGGGGGTGGGGGTGGGGGTGGGGGGGCGGTGTGTGGAGGGGGTGGTGTGTGTGGGGGGTGGGGGTGGGGGGTGGGGATGGTGTGTCGGGGTGGGGGTGGTGTGTGGGGGGTGGGTTGGTTTCAGTGTTTCTTTCAGACTTTTTCCTCCCCGGAGAGGGGTGGGGGTACTTGAAATTTTCGGGGGCGGGGGTAGAATTTTCTGGGAGGGGGCGGACACTGGAAAAAGTATATAATTATATTTCGTTGAATGGGACGGTAGACATGGTTTTTTGGGGGGGGGGGGGGGCGGTGGAGGGGGGGGGGGTTGGAGGGGTGGGGGGGGTGGGGGTGGGGGGCGGTGTGTGGAGGGGGTGGTGTGTGTGGGGGGTGGGGTTGGGGGTGGGGATGGTGTGTGGGGGTGGGGGTGGTGTGTGGTGGGGGGTGGGGGTGGTGTCTGGGGGTCGGGGGGGGGTGGGGGTGGTGTGTGGGGGGGTGGGTTGGTTTTAGTTTAGAGAAAAGAGACAGCACTATCAGCCTAGCGCCCGTTGTACCCTTCCTCAACGGGCCATTTATCTAGTATATATATATATATATATATATATATATATATATATATATATATATATATATATATAATAAACATCGTTTTAATAACATGCTTTTATGTAATATGAGCACTAAAAAAGAATAAAAATAATTTTCGTTAAACGTATAATAATAAACCACTATTTAAATAACTATAAAGAAAAGCATGGGTCGCTTATTACATTTTAGTAAAGATATTAAATACATATAGCGACCGATGTTTTTTTTTTCATAGTTATTTAAAACATAGTGATTCATTATTGTATATTTAGGACAATCGTATAATTTTAATACTAAATATCTTGTGCGCTAATGAAAGAACCTTATGTGTTGATAAATCGATAAAAATGTATACATTATACAAATACATTAATTAATTATTTAAAAATAATGAAGATCTTATTAAGTCAAATTTAAAAAAAGGACGACAGAGAAAGCAAGTTAAATAAAAACTTGCAAACACAGTGATGACTAACTGTAACTTTTATGAACCGAGAAATGAATTTGATAAGCAGTGCCCTTTGTGTTATAATCAGTTCGTGACTGTAAAATTTATGTTGGTTTTTAAGTGCAAAAGAGTTATACGTTTATTAAAAAAATTTGTAAGTAAGGAGAGATATGCTATTTGTGTATGTAGTAACGATGTTTTTGTTTAACATAATGTATGTGGTCAACGTTGTGTTTGGTCAACATTATGTATGTGGTCAACATTATGTTTGGTCAACATTGTGTTTGGTAAACATTGTGTAAAGAGGAAAAATAAAATATATATAAGATAAACAAAACGGTTAATTTGTTGGATTTTAGTCATTGATATATTTAGGTAAACTCTAACCCATTAACGTTAATATTTTGCCACCTGCAGTAGCCAAATACCAGACGAGTTGATTATCTCCCCTCTGGAACCAAAACGAGACGCTGCCATTATGAACTCGACCTGGCCATATAAAAACGAGCACTCGGAGAAATATTTAGAACAACTTATTCTTCGCTTCCCTTCTTGTGGGGTGTTTGATAGGTACGTTGTGTCTTTGTTAGTTGGTGTCTTTGTAAGGTACGTCGTGTCTTTGTTAGGTACGTCGTGTCTTTGTTAGGTACGTGGTGTCTTTGTTAGGTACGTCGTGTCTTTGTTAGGTACGTCGTGTCTTTGATAGGTACGTCGTGTCTTTGATAGGTACGTCGAGTCTTTGTTAGGTACGTCGTGTCTTTGTTAGGTGGTGTCTTTGTCCATGCAATTAATCAAAAAAATTTGTCAATTTTGTTTTACATAAATCACACAAATCCATTAAATACCTGTCATCAATTATCAACCAAACCGACAATTACTTGTCATTAAAATAAAGATCTCTTCTCGAACCTAAAGGGAGGGGGGGGGGGGGTTAAATGTCTCCAGTTGTTCCCGTTTCTTTGACCTCGGCATATAATGGGATAGTGTGCCGCCTTTTCTTTCCTTAACATGAGTTAGAGCTGCGTGGACTCAGGGACGTTCTACTTACTTAATCCAGGATTCGAACTCGAGACTTTCGGGCTCGCATTCTAGCGCTCTACCGTTAGGTCACGCCGTACCCATTTATGTCCTTAGTATGGTGAAATCAAAGATATTTGATGCACTAAATTTTGTTTTGTTTTAACCAGGTCTGGCCAATGTCTAGGTCACGTGGTCGGCACAGACAAAGGAACCGTTGGAGTTCTTTACGTGGTTCCAGAAATGAGACGTCACGGCCTGGGTCAGATGCTGCTACGTGAGCTATGTAAGGCTTACTTCGACCTTGACCTACCGTGTTTTGCTAACTGTGTGACGAATAACATCAAATCCATTCAGTTATTTGAAAAAGTTGGATTTAAGAATATCGACACAATAAAAGTGATGCACTACACTCCAACATAACACTATGCTGTAGCTTTCGTGATGTGGATGGATGGATGGATGGATGGATGGGTGGATGGATGGATGGATGGATGGATGGATGGATGGATGGATGGATGGATGGATGGATGGATGGATGGATGGATGGATGGATGGATGGATGGATGGATGGATGGATGCATGCATGGATGGATGGATGGATGGATGGATGGATGGATGGATGGATGGATGGATGGATGGATGGATGGATGGATGGATGGATGGATGGATGGATGGATGGATGGATGGATGGATGGATGGATGGATGGATGGATGGATGGATGGATGGATGGATGGATGGATGGATGGATGGATGGATGGATGGATGGATGGATGGATGGATGGATGGATGGATGGATGGATGGATGGATGGATGGATGGATGGATGGATGGATGGATGGATGGATGGATGGATGGATGGATGGATGGATGGATGGATGGATGGATGGATGGATGGATGGATGGATGGATGGATGGATGAATGGACAGATGGACGGATGGACGGATGGACGGATGGATGGATGGATGGATGAATTTACAAAGTTATCAGTTTTTAAAGAGCCACTATCATTTTTATTTCAATATTTAGGCATTTGATTGGGATTAGATATATACATTTGATTTTTGATTTGAAATGAATAGCTTAACATACAATATTTCGCACAAAACATATTAAAGTATTTTAGCTAGTTAGACTATGATAAAATTAGTAATCAAACAATATAACTAAACGACCATCTCAATCCACTTTAGAAACCAATAACTTTATTTTCTTTCTTTATGGACACCACCAGCTCACTAGGTGTCTCCAGGCAGTCCTCAGCACGACCAAATTCGACTCTGGCTTGGGTATCGGTCGCTTCTGTCTTCGGTTCTCACCAGGCTTAATTTCTACCCCACTGAACGCAGGATAAACCCGTACCCCACCGTCCAGTACCCGGCTCAACAATAAAAAGCTAATAGCTAAAAAACCATGTCACTTAGGTCAAATTAATGCATACTGACCGATAGAGAAATGCATTCTGTATATAATAACATTCCACACTTAGCGATGTTCGAAAAAGTCGGCACTACGGCAGTGGCAAGAATGGAACCGTCGCCACGGGGCTGGTCACAGCACGGCTTTGGGGCTCGGCCTGGTGTCCAAGCGGCTGTCAGCTGCCCATAGACTTTCTACCTCACCTACTCTCATTGTTTTCTGATGAGTGTTTTTATTCTGTTTAAAGTTTTTTTTCTTTTTATTAGTTTTAATGAGTTTTGAAAATAAATAATTATTAATATATCTACAGGGAACTGGAGAGCCGCATCTTGACATCAAAAGAGCCGCATGCGGCTTGCGAGCCGCAGGTTGCCGATCCCTGGTCTATTAGAATATATATATATATATATATATATATATATATATATATATATATATATATATATATATATATATATATATATATATGTATATATATATATATATATATATATATATATATATATATATATATATATATATATCATATATATATATATATATATATATATATATATATATATATATATCATATATATATATATATATATATATATATATATATATATCAGTTGTAGCTATGCTTAAAAATGTTAAAATCAAAATTCTAGAAAGATTACGTACTCTTAAAATATTAATGTGTTAATTTCGAGCACTTCTAACCGACCAATTTCTCTGAAACTTGGCACGTAGGTCAAGATCTGATGACAATGCAAATGACATCATTTTTTGTAATTTCTAGATACTAGTTTCTCCGAAATAAAATCATTATATTATCTAATTAGAAAAAGAATTGCAACCCACAAAAATATTTGAAAAAAGAAATTAATTTGCACATTTTATTTATTAGTCACCAAGTATAATATAATGTTCAATCTTTAAATAAAATAAAAACAAATGAAAACTTAATTCAAAGTTACAAAATTTTTGACGCTGTAATTAAAAAAATGGTTTTCAAGAGTTAAATATTTAAAAACGAAATTGCTTATTTTTAGAAGTGGATTTGAAAGGTACATATCCTGATTATTATCAGAGCAACTACTAAATCAATAACCTCTTTAGTAAATGATTTCCTGATGTTTATGTGGTAAGGATTTTGCTGACATGAACATTTCCACCATAACCAAAGTAATTGATTTGCTCGATTTTGTGCTTGTAAATGTACTTGTGTACACCTTTGTGGTCGATCTGAATATAAGAAATTGCGTAAAGTGTGACAAAATCATTCTCTTTAAATATTAACAACGAAACAATATTTAAACCTGCATCGGTACCAATAACACGCGAATTATAGACCTGTATTTGAAATTTTACACTTGTTTGAGAAATATATTTTACAAAATAGGTATTGGTCAAAACGCTTTATGCTTTACTGCATGTTGAACGATATTAGTGTCAATGCAAAGTAATAACTAAATAGCTAAAAATCCGACATGCTTTATATTACATAGGCTATCAATATCTATTAGAGAAACTAAAACCAAATCATATACATTATTAGTCACAACACCATATTAAGTGATTAAGTGACTAAAATGATTCCTTTAAAAACAGGCTTTTAGCGGTATTTTAGCGTACGTCTTATCAGTAGATCTATAGATCTAAATCTTATTTTTAAAAAATAAATAATTTCTTTAAATTCTAAAATTTAAAGATGTGGAAAGCGAATCTTATTAAAGATGACGTCATTAGTATTGTGTATCATTTTCGACATTCGATGTTTAATTCTATTTTTAATCCTATAATCAATGACGCGATTAGTGTTGTGTACTTTTTATTAATCTTGTTTCATCTTGATGTATTTCTTACTGTTTTCTGTGCCGTCATTCTTTTTGCCAATGATTTTGTGCTATTAATATGTTCTCTAGAGCGTTCCAGCCACAACTATAAACGCTTCTCCGGTTGCTTAATTAAATATTAGTTTCTACATTCGAATATGCCTTTATTTTTATTTTCCTTATTTCAATACAATTTAGTTTATACATTTAATGCATCCAACATATTATTTTCAACATAAGTCAGTATCTTTAAGTCCTCCATACATTGCTGAAGATACTGATCTCATAGTATCTGAAAATATGTGACGGATAGAGAAAGAGAGAGAGAGGAGAGAGAGAGAGAGACAGAGAAAGACACACACACACACACACACAGAGAGAGAGAGAGAGAGAGAGAGAAATACGCACATATGCTTATATCTGTATTTATAAAGCAAAGTGGTCAGGTGCCCCATAGGGCACTTCCCGGCGCCGCAGACTAGTCAAATTTTGCACGATGGTGCCTTGGGGCGATGGAACACGAGGGCCGGTGACGGTTCGGCAAAAAGTCTACGGAGAGGGGGTCAAAACTGACCTCGGCTGACCGGCGCCTTATATGGGCTATATTACGAAAAAAAAATTCTCAGACGACCCCCCTTGAAATTTTGTGAGGTGGTAGGAGAACGCCTTGGGGTGTCACAAAAAAAAAACTCGGCATATCTGGGAAAACTTCGTAAAGGGGTCAAAACTGACCAGTTGTATTTCCCTATATAATCTTGGTATTTTATGGGAAAAACAGAGGGTCATTTCAAAACGAATTTTATGGCACTTACCCTCTTTACATCTGGCTAAGTTTTAGCATGCTTATAGGTAAATGGCTTGACTGTAGGGAATACCTGTCGGTTTCACTCAAAGCCCTCGACGAGGGTTAAAAAGTGACCGCGAGTGAAATTCTTTTTATATGAGCTCTATTTCGAAACAAAATTTCCTCCGACGACCCCCCTTGATATTTTGTGAGGTGGTAGGAGAACGCCTTGGGGTGTCACAAAAAACTCGGCATATCTGGGAAAACTTCGTAAAGGGGTCAAAACTGACCAGTTGTATTTGCGTATATAATCTTTGTATTCTATGGGAAAAACAGAGGGTTATTTCAACGCAGACTTTAGGGTACTTAAATTCAGTATATCTGGCTAATTTTTTTGCATACTCTTAGGTCAATGGCTTGACCATTAAGGAAAACTGTCGGTTTACCTCAAAGCCCTCGATGAGGGCTAAAAAGTGACCGCGAGTGAAATTCTCTTTATATGAGCTCTATTACGAAAAAAGATTTCCTCCGACGACCCCTCTTGATATTTTGTGAGGTGGTAGGAAAACGCCTTGGGGTGTCACAAAAAAGTCGGCATATCTGGGAAAACTTCGTAAAGGGGTCTAAACTGACCAGTTGTATTTCCGTATATAATCTTTGTATTTTATGGGAAAAACAGAGGGTCATTTCAACGCAGACTTTAGGGTACTTAAACTCAGTATATCTGGCTAATATTTTGCATACTCTTAGGTCAATGGCTTGGCCTTTATGGAAAACTGTCGGTTTGACTCAAAGCCTTCGACGAGGGCTAAAAAGTGACCGCGAGTGAAATTCTCTTTATATGAGCTCAATTACGAAATTTTTTTTCCTCCGACGACCCCCCTTGAAATTTTGTGAGGTGGTAGGAGAACGCCTTGCTAAGTTTTTGCATACACTACTATAGATGACTAGGCCGTATTTAAAAACTGTTGGTCAGACTCAAAGCCCTCGACGAGGGCTAAAAGATGATCGTGAGTGAAATTCTCCTTATATGATATATATATATATATATATATATATATATATATATATATATATATATATATATATATATATATATATATATATATATATATATATATATATATATATATATATAAATAAATTAACGTACGACCATGGAGGGTAACAAAAAAACTTTATTCCCGTCGGAAACAGCCATTATAGTAGTTAAATATGTTCATGTACCGTAATTTCTTATATAAGCATGGCAACTGTTATTTAAAAAAAACTAAACAAAGACATACGTCATACGTTCAGTTTTCAAGGGATGTAACGTTTTTAAAATTATTATTTTTCAAATAATTGTATACTATTTCAAACAGAAACAGAAAATGACGAAGTA